ATAAGTAACAGTTATATACAGTATGTCACAGTTACATCATTATTTATGCTGTACACCAGTACCTGCCAAAGACATTGAACAAAATGTAAAAAACCTTCAACTATTGATATGTACAGTATATGTGTCCTGCTTCATATGATATTTTGAAATAAACATGTTATGTATTATTTTTTGTCTGTCAAAGTTGCGTTAATCCTTAAGAGTCTATTGACGCATCTGTGCGTCAATCTAAGTAACACAATACAAATATCCCCCATAGAATCCGTCAGTTCAAGCTAGAGATATCAGTTTTTTTGCATGGGCTGCATCTCAATCCGCCTATGTCGGCCTTCTGCATCTGTTGTGGAAGGTGGCCGAGCTACAGCATTGTTTGTCAGACCATGAGACATCCCGAAAATCGGTCTTCTCATGAAAACGTCTGTAGCGTTTTCGTGAGAAGGGGAGACTCTCACGAACACGATTCTGTTCTCCATTTTGCTCTAAGACCCCTACAAGTTTCACGGGACTCGTCTGAAGGTAACCCATACAAACGAATAGAAGTATGGAGGTAGTTTTGTGTCAACAAAAATAAGGGGTTAAATATGTCTAAAATGTATATCTATATTTCCTGAGCTTTCTTATATCTCCTAGATATAGGACAGGCACTTCAAAACCTTATTCCTTATTAATTCGTTTTTGCCTGTCTTTTTTGCCATTTATGAATGTGTTATTTAATGCGTTTCTATGGGCTATAGCAGTAAAGGCCAAATTCAATACTTTATCAAATCATTTTTTATATATATTTTTTATACCAAAAGGGGTCCTAAAATTCTAAATCAAATAGCTAAATGATCCATGGTATGACCACCTTAAAACCAATTCCATGTCAGCTTAGTACCCCCAAATATGTGTTTGTTATTCAAAGACGTATGTAATGGTGTGATGCAATAGAAAGTGTCAAATTAGAGACTGTTAACTTGAGCCCACTCATTATGTCAGTCCCTGTGTGCAGTTCATCCAATGGTAAACTCTACCTCTGGCCCTCACCAGTCATGATGTTCACACCTTCCCAACCAGGGGACTCATTATCTCCTAACACAGCCAGATGTCTAACTGGCTGTTTTGACAACCAGGTGCATTAGCCACGTTTCACACAACACAGTTGAATGAACAAACATCTAGTTTTCCTTTTGAAAGTGTTGCTTCCCACAGGCTTTTTTAAATTTGTTTCGACAACTTTGTGTATATTGCATCACTGAAGAAATAAAGTTAAATGTGGTTAATCTATGGTTAATCAAAAACATGATCAATCTACACTTGATTTGCCTAATACAACAGAGTGTTTCCCTGTTAAGTAAATGTTCTAGGCCTATGTTTTAGGGTCAGGCAGCCAGTCAGTTCACTCTGGGAACCCCAAGACCACATGCAGGAATTTGGCTCAGTTCATCCTAGAGACAACAGTATCTACCCTCATCTTTATCTTAGTCTAGCCTACTGTTGGCTGACCTTGGAGAATATTGCAAAGTAAATATAGACAAGCATTAACAAACGGGAATCACACAGGGGAGTAAAAATCTAATCAAATCAAATTGTATTGGTCACATACATATATTTAGCAGATGTTATTTCGGGTGTAGCGAAATGCTGGTGTTCCTAGCTCCAACAGTGCAGTAGTATCTAACAATTCACAACAATACACAAAAATCTCAAAGTAAAAGAATGGAATTAAGAAATATATACTGTAAATATTAGAAAGAGCAATGTCAGGAGTGGGGGAGACTCTCACTAGAATACAGTAGAATACACTATATACATATGAAATGAGTAAAACATGATATAAACATTATTAAAGTGACAGGTGTTCCATTATTAAAGTGACCAGTGATTCCATGTCTATGTACAGTGAGGGAAAAAAGTATTTGATCCCCTGCTGATTTTGTACGTTTGCCCACTGACAAAGAAATGATCAGTCAATAATTTTAATGGTAGGTTTATTTGAACAGTGAGAGACAGAATAACAACAAAAAATCCAGATAAACGCATGTCAAAAATGTTATAAATTGATTTGCATTTTAATGAGGAAAATAAGTATTTGACCCCCTCTCAATCAGAAAGATTTCTGGCTCCCAGGTGTCTTTTATACAGGTAACGAGCTGAGATTAGGAGCACACTCTTAAAGGGAGTGCTCCTAATCTCAGCTTGTTACCTGTATAAAAGACACCTGTCCACAGAAGCAATCAATCAATCAGATTCCAAACTCTCCACCATGGCCAAGACCAAAGAGCTGTCCAAGGATGTCAGAGACAAGATTGTAGACCTACACAAGGCTGGAATGGGCTACAAGACCATCGCCAAGCAGCTTGGTGAGAAGGTGACAACAGTTGGTGCGATTATTCGCAAATGGAAGAAACACAAAATAACTGTCAATCTCCCTCGGCCTGGTGCTCCATGCAAGATCTCACCTCGTGGAGTTGCAATGATCATGAGAATGGTGAGGAATCAGCCCAGAACTGCACGGAAGGATCTTGTCAATGATCTCAAAGCAGCTGGGACCATAGTCACCAAGAAAACAATTGGTAACACACTATGCCGTGAAGGACTGAAATCTTGCAGCTCCCGCAAGGTCCCCCTGCTCAGGAAAGCACATATACATGCCCGTCTGAAGTTTGCCAATGAACATCTGAATGATTCAGAGGAGAACTGGGTGAAAGTGTTGTGGTCAGATGAGACCAAAATGGAGCTCTTTGGCATCAACTAAACTCGCCATGTTTGGAGGAGGAGGAATGCTGCCTATGACCCCAAGAACACCATCCCCACCGACAAACATGGAGGTGGAAACATTATGCTTTGGGGCTGTTTTTCTGCTAAGGGGACAGGACAACTTCACCGCATCAAAGGGACGATGGACGGGGCCATGTACCGTCAAATCTTGGGTGAGAACCTCCTTCCCTCAGCCAGGGCATTGAAAATGAGTCGTGGATGGGCATTCCAGCATGACAATGACCCAAAACACACAGCCAAGGCAACAAAGGAGTGGTTCAAGAAGAAGCACATTAAGGTCCTGGAGTGGCTAGCCAGTCTCCAGACGTTAATCCCATAGAAAATCTGTGGAGGGAGCTGAAGGTTCGAGTTGCCAAACGTCAGGCTTGAAACCTTAATGACTTGGAGAAGATCTGCAAAAAGGAGTGGGACAAAATCCTTCCTGAGATGTGTGCAACCCTGGTGGCCAACTACAAGAATCGTCTGACCTCTGTGATTGCCAACAAGGGTTTTGCCACCAAGTACTAAGTCATGTTTTGCAGAGGGGTCAAATACTTATTTTCCCTCATTAAAATGCAAATCAATTCATAAAATTTTTGACATGCGTTTTTCTGTATTTCTTTGTTGTTATTCTGTCTCTCACTGTTCAAATAAACCTACCATTAAAATTATAGACTGATCATTTCTTTGTCAGTGGGCAAACGCACAAAATCAGCAGGAGATCAAATACTTTTTTCCCTCACTGTACATAGGGCAGTAACCGGGTGGTAGCCGGCTAGTGACAGTGACTAAGTTCGGGGCAGGGTCAACAATGGCAGTGCAGATATAGACAATGGTCGCGTTCCCATGCTCCCGTTGCATGCATCAACCAATGGTTGCGTGCCACGTCATCGACTGTGTCATCGACTGACAGATTGCTATAACATATGATCAGTGGTGTAAATTACTTTAAGATGCACTATGCAGAAATCGCTCCCCCATTTTCTGGTTGCTAAAATTCTAAAAGTTTGCCTAATTTCAGTTTATGTGACAAAACAAGCAAGTATAGTGTAGAGAATCATTGTACCATCTAAACCAATGTGAAATATATTTTCCATAAAGCTGGTGTACAAAACTGAAAGTAAAAGATGCACAAAACGAAACTTAAAGCTGCACTATGTAACTTTTTGGGCGACCAGACCAAATTCACATAGAAATGTGTGTTATAGATCTGTCGTTCTAATTGAAAGCTAGTCTAAGATGCGGTAGATCTGTTCTATGTACGCTATTTATAAGCTTCCCATTCTTTACTTTCGGTTTTGTACACCAGATTCAAACAGATGAAATTGCAATATTTTTTATTATGGAAAATGTATTTCACAGCAGTTTTTACTCCATACATTTTCCCTGACACCCAAATGTACTCGTTACATTTTGAATGCTTAGCAGGACAGGAAAATTGTCCAATTCAGTCACTTATCAAGAGAACATCCCTGGTCATCTCTACTGCCGCTGATCTGGCTGATTCACTAAACACAAATGCTTAGTTTGTAAATTATTAGTTTTGTCTGAGTGTTGGAATGTGACCCTTGCTATCCGTAAATAAAAAAAATAAAAAAAACGTGCCCTTTGGTTTGCTTAACATAAAGAATTTAAAATGATTCATACTTTTACTTTTGATACTTAAGTATATTTTAGCAATTACATTTACTTTTGATACTTAAGTATATTTAAAACCAAATACTTTCAGACTTTTACTCAAGCAGTATTTTACTGGGTGACTTTCAATTTTACTTGAGTCATTTTCTAATAAGGTATATTTACTTTTACCCAAGTGTGACAGTTGGGTACTTTTTCCACCATTGCATTTGATGCGATTAACTGATACTTAAAATACCTATGCAGGCGTTGTAAAATCAGGTATGCGTCAGCAACCCCTGGGCAGAGGAACGCGCCCATGCTCTTTTAGAATTATGAATGATGCAATCACTGATGAATGAATGAAGCCTCTCCCATCTCTATAGATCATGTTTGCTGATGTCTCTGTCTCTGTCCATCTGTGAAAATTGATTGGTTGTTTCTCTGACTTCTGTCCAATGGCTCTTCAAAAGTGCAGAGTGGACATTAAACTGCATGATAAGAAATACTGATTACAGTGGATTTACCCCAACTGATACCCTTCTCTATCATGTGGCATTGTAAGGCCAAAGTGCATTGGCCACTCCAGTACAAAAGGGGAGATCTGTTACTTATTTAGGTGTGTAGTTAATAAGTTAGCCAGCATGCAGTGTATCTGGACCCTATCCCTGCTTCAGCTAGTTGCCCTGTGGGCCAACGCAGCAGTGGTCACTGAAAATGGCCTCCCCATCCTCTGGGACCAGGCACCCAGCCAGCTGTCGGAACTGCCTCAGGTGGACAACGTGGTCACAATCAACCCCTGGAACTACCTGCAGAGGATGAGTCTGTATAGGATACTGGTGGGATCCACAGACAAGTACATGGCCTCCATGGGAACCAATGAGACTGACAGCCCGTTCTGGGGCCTGCCTCTGCAGCTGGGCTGGAAACTCAGATCAGGTATGTTGGGCAATCATTAAGTAGCTTTGGAGAGTCAAATACAGTGGTCTGAAATTACTGACACCTTTGATAAAGATGAGCAATAATGACTGTATAAAATAAATAATTCCAATACTGAGCTATATTGTATGCTCAAAAAAATTGGGAAATTATATTATTTAATACTAATGCAATTGCGCAAAGAAAGATATGTTGTTTAACAACTAATATTTTTTTTATCTCAAAAAGATATGGGTCAAAATTACTGACACCCCTAAAGATTCTTGTAAATAAAGTAGTCTGAATTTTAGTATTTGGGTCAAAGATCATACGCCCAAGACATATGGAGGACTAAAAGTGCCACAATTAAATAAATAAATACACCATTAAATAATTACTTAAATGTGTCATTAATTAATTAAAATTAGAATTAAATACATAAATGTGTTATTAAATGTGTCATTAATTAATTCAAATACCGATTCATTTTATGTAAAATACATATATAATAATTTCACTATTTACATTTACATTTCATGGTCCTGCGTTGGAGTGCTTCCTGAATTACTTAAAACTGTCAAACTGACCCATCAAAAGTTGGTAGGCGGAACCTAACGCCTGATTGGTTACCCTCTGCATCAAGCCAAGACAAATCAATTCCGGATAATGTCAGCAGGTCCTGCTTCTACATCATCTGCTAAGTTTAAAATGTCTCTAACCAACTCCCTGGAAAGTTCACGGAGATCCTCCATTGTCTCTATCCAGGTTGGCCTACTCTACTTCAGACCAAAGCAATGGATCAGACTAGATTCGCGTTAGCCCCGCCCACTGACTTTGATGGGTCAGTTTGACAGTTTTAAGTAATTCATGAATCACTGCAATGCAGGATCATGAAATGTAAATGTAAATAGTGAAATAATTATATATGTATTTTACATAAAATGAATCGGTATTTGAATTAATTAATGATACATTTAATTACACATTTATGTATTTAATTATAATTTGAATTAATTAATGACACATTTAAGTAATTATTTAATGGTGTATTTATTTATTTAATTGTGGCACTTTTAGTCCTCCATAAAGACATGCTAACCTCCCCTGTTATTGGTAATGGTGAGAAATCATCATGTCTTGGGGTATGATCTTTGTGCCTCTGTAACTTTCTCACTCATCATTATTCACGATTCATTCAGGATTATCCATTATCATGGTAGCATCCACATGTAGAAATGTTCAGAAACATATTATATTCTTATTTTGGAGTCACTTTTATTAGAAATGACAATACATTATTTACCATTCATTTCTCAGCATTTTAATTATTTATTTTATACAGTCATTATTGCTCATCTTTATCAAGGGTGTCAATAATTTCGGACCCCACTGTACATGTACAATGTTTTGTGAACACTATATGCACATTCTTTTTGTGATGCGTACACCAATCATGTTGACTTTGTTCTGGGGCAGGAGTGAATACGTTTCTCAAAGGTTTTCATGTGGAAATAAAAAGCAAAAGTGATGTGACCGGATGCGCTTCTGTTCCTATAGGGCGGTTGGTTGACCCCACTGGCGCTACAACATGTGGAGAGGAAGGAGATCCCATGTGCATTTCCACTAATAGCTGGTGGGCATGTAAGTACTGTTACACATATTCAACCATGCAGGCCATGTGTGTGGCCCTACATGTGCAGTTAAAGGTCCAATGCAGCCATTTTATATCAATATCAAATCATTTCTGGGTAACAATTAAGTACCTTACTGTAATAGTTTTCCATTAAAATTGTCAAAAACAAACAAAAATTGCTTTTTAGCAAAAACAGTTGCTAGGACTGCCTAGGAGTGGTCTGAGTAAAACTAAAAACTAGCTGTTATTGGCAGAGAGGTTTGGAACTCTCTTTGCTATTGGTCTATTAACTAATTTACCGCCTGGTGATGTTACTATGAAAAGCCGACACTCCCACACATGCAAAGGTCCTACGTAGATTGTATTTTCAACCAGCAACTATCAGGAAATAACACTTTTTATTCACACCTTTACAGTGTTAGTTTTATCAGCTATCGTACAATATAATACAAAAAAATATAAAAAATCTCACTCCACTGGGCCTTTGACATTCACAGCTTGTCAATAAAATACCATTAGTAACCTCTCTCTCTCGCTCGCCCTCTCTCTCTCTCTCTGTGTCTCTGTCCGTCTCTCTCTCTCTCTCTCTCTCTCTGTGTCTCTGTCCGTCTCTCTCTCTCTCTCTCTCTCTCTCTCTCTCTCTCTCTCTCTCTCTCTCTCTCTCTCTCTCTCTCTCTCTCTCTCTCTCTCTGTGTCTCTGTCCGTCTCTCTCTCTCTCTCTCTCTCTCCAGGTGTGAACTACTACCTCTCAGTGATCCCGTTCCTGGCTGCTGTGCATAAAGGTGTGATTGGAGATGGTCTCATTCAGGTCCAGGTCCAGGCACCAGCTGAGGCAGCAGACTACTGCACCTCCTACACAGACTGCTCTACTAAGTACCCAGGCCTTATGGCCAAGTGGGAAGAATTCTTCCAGGTATTTAATAAGCTTCTACTTTCCTTTTCCCCATAGGAGGCATTTTCCTTCTTGCCATAGTTCCTTTAGTTGTGTAAGTCACTATTCATATGTGACTGATTGCATAGAATTACTTGTTGTTCTTGGTTTTTAATATGCTACCATTCCATTCTAGACTCTGAAAGACGTGAGTGCATCTGAAATTTCTGACTTTGAGAAAAGGGACCAGATTCTGGGTGTCTATTGGGCAGGTCAACAGCTCTCTTTGAATTCTGCCTCAACCAGCTGCAAGGGAAAGTGAGTATTAACATACAGTATCATTCTGCAGGTCATCACCATTTGTCAATGCACTGTTTTTCTTCCTTCATTGTTGGAACTCTGACACCTCATTTTCAGTTTCATTTAAACATATGACTCTCAGTTCAAACTGTATGCTCTGTCCTCCAAACAGCTTTTGCCTCAATATAACAAAATAAAAACATTATTGGATGCAATCACTTTGAGTCACAATTGAGTCCTTACTGTATGTCCAAATTGAACCTTTGAACTTTATAGGATGAGCTACTATTCCAGCCCAGAGGTTTCATTCGCCAACAACTGGATGAACTCTGCAGACTACGTAGCAGCGACATACTTCCAGTCCAACCTGAATAACTCTGTGCTGTTCATGAGCCCTCTGCCCAGCAGGGTGCTTCAGGAGGGGGATAGCGCCCCTAACATTGCTGACCTCAGCACGGAGGAGAACCACACCCTCTATATCTTCGGCTGGATGACCAGAATGAACAGGATTCTGAGTGAGTACTTTTACTTTTAGTCCCCCAAGACAAATATTCAGAAAATATAATGATATTTTGAGATGGTAGACAGACGCCAGTCTGGAGAGCTACCATCCTGTAGGTTTTTATTCCAACACTAATCTAGCGCACTTCATTCTAATAATTAGCTGGTTGATAAGCTGAATCAGGTTAGTTACAAATGGGGTTGGAGCAAAAACCTACAGGAGGGTAGTTCCCCGGGAACAGGGTTGGAGAACCCTGATGTAGTCTGTAGTCTCCCTCTAGTGGGGAAATGTATGAAGTGCATTAGTACCATCTCAGTTGCAGCAAGTTACGCCACATCCTTACACATTTTCCTGTTGTTTTCCTTATGACAGTGGGTTCTCTGGTGAGGATGTGGCGCTCGGCCATGTGCTCTGACAAGGCTCGGGAGAAGGGCCGGGAGCTCCTACAGGATCTGGTCCATGATCCTAAGTTCGCTGCTTCCACCTTCGTCTCCATTCTCAAAGAGATGATACGCAGCTGCTGAGGATTCAGCAAATCAGTCCGACACTAGCCCAGTTTCAACCTGTCCCTATGTTAGCATCATATGCCATTCACAATGATTAATTGTTAAATGTTTCTGAATACAATTCACACAGTAGTATTTACACATCCTGTGTTTTTGTAATTATTCATTTTCCACAGTAGGCAAATGTCCTTGTTGATTAATGTACAAACAATGTATTTCTTGTATCATGAATATAATAATACATTTAAATGGAAGAGTGGCTCAGTATAAAGAGCATAATAGTACATAGAAAAACATTTTGCTTGAAATATGAACATTACAGTGCCTTCAGAAAGTATTCACATGGACTCACTATGGTAGATCGATAAAAAAAAGACCAAAAAAAAGAAGAAGAAAGCAGACATTGAATGCAGCCTGTACAGAATAACAAATATTCCAAAACATGCATCCTGTTTGCAACAAGGCACTAAAGTAATACTGCAAAAAAATGTGGCAAAGCAATTCACTTTTTGTCCTGAATACAAAGTGTTATGTTTCAGACAAATCCAATACAGCATATTACGGAGTACCACTCTCCGTATTTTCAAGCATAGTGGTGGGTGCGTCATGTTATGGGTATGCTTGTAATCATTAACGACTGGGGAGCTTTTCAGGATAAAAAATTAATGGAATGGAGCTAAGCAAAGGCAAAATCCTAGAGGAAATCCTGGTTTAGTTTGCTTTCTACCAGACACTGGGAGATTAATTCACCTTTCAGCAGGACAATAAACTAAAACACAAGGCCAAATTTACACTGGAATTGCTTACCAAGAAGACAGTGAATGTTCCTGAGTGGCCAAGTTACAGTTCTGATTGAAATCTGCTTGAAAATCTATGGCAAGACCTGAAAAAAATAATAATGGACAAATATTGCACAATCCAGGTGTGGAAAGCTCTTAGACTTATCCAGAAAGGTGATTCTAACATGTATTGACTCAGGGGGTTGAATACTTATCTAATCAAGATATATTTGTGTTTAATTTTTCATGAATCTTTTACAAATGTTAGAATTTTTCTTCCACTTTGACATTACAGAGTATTTTGTGTAGATCTTTGACAGAAAAGTGACAATTAAATGTATTTGAATACCACTTTGTAACACAACAAAATGTGGAAAAAGTCACAGGGTGTGAATACTTTCTGAAGGCACTGTATAGTATATCTCACATGCCAACATTTGTATTGATCTTTACACTTAAACAATATGGGGTTAAACTTTGAGCTTGGGTTAGATATGTATTAGATAGTCATAAAAACCATTCATTCACTTCTATACTAAACCTGTTTTGCAGTCTGCATGGCATATGTGTTTCTTGATTTCCTCTTGTCTGTGCTGTGAATACTTTGGTCATTAAATGTTCTCCTGATTCTGTCAAGTTTCATCCTCATCAATGTATTCATAATCATGAGTATCACCATCATCCTGTTTAATTGTCTTGTGCTGAGGTCTGTTTTCTTCAACGATGGCTGAGGAGAGAACCCAAACACAGCAAGGTGTAAGAATCAAAGTCAAGATTTTGACAGAGAGATAAATATATTACACATTTATAAAAAATAAAAAAAAACATGTTGCAAAATCTAGAAATGTTTTTATCTTGTTGACGCCCAGCAATTCATTTTTGTCCTCTCTAGTGGATATCAGTTCTTGGTCCATATCGCTCGCTGCAGTAAGAATTTGCAAATCTTATGGAAATGTGATATTCAAACAGTTTCTATTAAGTGAATATCTCAGGAATAGTTAGGTGAGTTCTCAGGACTTCACATGATATAATAGGTAAATAAGAGCTTATCAAGAAGTGTCCTTTGTAGTGCACACCCGGATGCCGCAACCATGTTTTTCACCTACTGTACCCATTGACTGTAATGTTTTTAAAAATATATTTTACGTCCTAATGACCCCTACAGAGGACAATTTTGCACTGAAATACAATCACAATTTCTTGGTAACAACTTTTTGGGAGGGGTCTTAGAAGGATATTGAAGGTTGAGAATTAAGTTTAGTTGCAAAATAGTCTGCTGCAATATTGCATACCACTATCCCTCCAGCATGTTGAATGACATAATATTCAACAAAACTATTTTGATGGAATATAGAAACATAGACAAACCTTTTTGTGGGCCTGGATCTGGCACTGCGACTAGACTTGTGTTGGATGTTTCATTTCTTGGTATAAAGGTGTTCTGTTCTGCCCAACCAAATGAACTAGGGCTCGGCATGGCTGGTTTGGCTGTATGTGGGCTCTTCAATATAATAACACAGACCACACGCAAAGCATTAGTACAATAATCAACTGAATATAACTTTTCAATTAAATAAATCTGATAGCCAATGTTGTTGTTGTGTTATAGATATTTTATTATTTATTAATGCATTAAATATAATGGATGAATGACTCACCTTTGGAGAGGGGGGGTCTGGTTTCTTTGGCCTGAGAGGCTGCAGTTTCAATGTGTCTTCTGAGGGCTGTTGATGTCTCTTGGGTGGTCGAGGGGGAGGCAGCATGCTGGCGTTGACGTACCTCCTCAGGGTGAAATAGCAGTCCTCTCCTATTTCCTCCACAGCCGAGCAGACGGCCTGGCTCTGGGTCGGCTCTGGGCTGCTCCACTGCTGCAGGAGCTGCAGGGCCATGTTGGTGCGGTTGACAGGCACCTCCCAGCAAAGGGCCAGGTCCGGGGTGGAAACAAGAAGGTATGGGTCAGTGATCTCCTCCTCCAGCTGCAGTCCCTGTGGCCCCAGCCAGGAGGTCCTCCTTTACTGAGAGGTCCCTCATAGACACCTTGACGTTGAAGGGCAGGGAGAACCTGTGGCAGACCTCTGAGAGCATGTACTGCTTCTTGTCGTGGACCACCTCCACAAAGCCCCCTTCCAGACACATGGGGATCAGCACGGCCTCGTACTTCTTCCCCACCATCTTCTCACAGGCCAGGGCCTCCACCGTCTTTCTCCTGCCTCCGTAGATCACCTCGCTGGTCTCCCTTTTGTGGACCAGGTACTGGTCTCCCACCAGCACTGAGGACAGCCCCTCGTAGTCGGTCTCAAAGGCCCTGGTGGCCACCACGTGGAGCAGCTCCATGTCACTCTTGGCGACCTCTAGGTCATACGCTGTGGGGAACGTCCGGGGCCTGCGCTTGAACCTGCCGTTGTAAGACACTGGGATGAGGAAGCGTCTTTGGGCTTCGCTGCGGATCTCAGACGCTAGGATCCTCTTGGCCTGGTAGGCACCATGGACAATGACTTGCTTAGAGGACATCAGGAAACTCAATTCCTCCTGAACTTGTGATGGTGGCTCTATGATCTCAGCCATGAAGGGGAAGACCTCGCAAGGCTTGGCAAAGACATCACGGAGTGACAGAGGCTGCATGAAACAGGCACCGTCACACTCCTCTGTTACATCCAACACCTCAACATCAAGGGTGGACGGGATGAAAACAACGTTATTCCCAACTGTGAACAAAAATGAGATTATTTCTGTTTAGTATGACGGCACAAGCAAGGATGGTCTACTATAGGCTAAATATTCAACTTTGTAAGACAACATCTCTTATAATTTCTGCCAAAAACAAATACCTAATGTATTATATATTTTTTTTAATCAGATAATAATAAAGGTCTGCCATTAGTACATCTGTTTAACTGCTGGTTTGAATCGTTTCTTTATTTTTATTTTTATACAAAGTAGAAATTCATTGTGATTCCCCGACCAGCATGATGGCTACTACACTTCAAAACATCCTCTATTTTCATGTCTGTGCTTCTGAAACAAAAAGTGAATGGCCCAAGACCAGTGTACTGTAGTTGTCATGTTCATTTGTTGTCAGTATTACAATTTGTTCTCTTTAATTTGAAAAAATAAATATAAATTATATAATGAAAAATACAGAGCATCATTGTGTGACTTTTTTTTATCACGCAATTAAAGCGTCCTTCATTCCACATAACTTTGACGTAAAGTGAGAATATTAATGGGCTGTTTGACACTCACACTTGGACACAGTCTGAAGCTCGTAGACAGGTGTGAGAACCAGCTCTCCACTGTAGTCCTCTGGCAACTTAGACACACACTTCTCCTTTGACGGCAAAGACTTGGCCCAACTCACTGTCCTTTTCCTTCCTTTGAGCATTTTCCATTCCACCAGCTCCTTGAGGGTGTAGAATTGGTCGTCGGCACACTCATAGAACTCCCCAGTGTGTGAGAGCTTCACAGTGAAGATGTGCTTGGAGTCTTTCCGCGTGACCTCACAGTCAACATGGCTGTCTCCATGCTCCGTCCTAAGAGCAGTGAGTTTGAAGCTCTCCTCAGCCTGGATAGTCCCCTCAGCCAGTTGTAGCTCCTCAGGGCAGCGGAATTCTGGCTGGCCCAGGCACTCAGAGCTGATATGCACTGAGTCAACAATCTCCTGTATACAAGTGTATGGCCTCTTGTCGGCCACGATCCTGAAAAGGCCTGAAAATACAGACAGGCAAAGCAATATCTGACATTATATGTATTGGTACAATGCACAAAACCACATGTTGATAAGGTCCCTTTCTAACCCGAGAGAGGGGTTTGGACATTTACATGTATAATGTAAACTGCAGTACATGGTAAAGGGCAAGAATTAAGGCAATTATTAAAACATTTACATTTGAATATATCAATCAACATTATAAGTCTTTATAAAGGTACAGATTTGACCACAACAATTTTCGATTTCATGTTCAAGGTACAGTTTGGATGTTTCGGGACCCACCTGGGAAGTCGAGAGATAGATCTATTGTCATGGATTTGGATCCCTCAGACTGAAGCTCCACAATGAGTCTGGTGACACTGATCCCAATGATCTTCAGGAGCTCTCCATAGGAGAAACTCCACTCTCTTCCAAACAGCTCATACACAGAACCTGGTAGAAAGACATTTCAATGGATCGATTATTTTGGCACTGAATGGACCTAAGTACAGTCGTCGATGGTCTATTCTCCTTGTAGAGTAATGGATCCAAGTACGTAAGAACATAAGTAAAGGGTGGTAACTCTATAATAATTATCATGAATAAGCATGAATAATTCATGTATTATTAAGAATTTATAAAACATTATTCATGACAATTATTACGTTTCACCAAACAATATATTTTCAAAGCCCCAGTTAAAAAGAATAATCTCGACATCAGTTTTATGTTTAATTTTGTAACGTGAAATACCTTTTGTTTATATCATTGTATGGTAAGATACTGCATAGCCATGAGCTGTTACTTTAAACTGAAATTATATATATATATATATATATATATATATATATATATATATATATATATATATATATATATATATATATATATATATATATATGTTTTAATTCCAGTCCAGTGAATAAGGACTTAAGTTAGGGCTAATGTCTTCAGTCTTACCTTGGAAATAATATCCAGATTGTATCTGCAGTACTCTAGGGAGAGACTTGGCATCAAGAGAGCGGGTGAACTTATCCAATGTCATAGCCATCCTTTCCATTTGGTCTCTGGGTGACCCAGACTATTTATACACTGAAGGAAACCTACAGAGGAGATGCCATCTTCTCAGCAAAAGGTTGATCAGAGGTTTTGGTATAACCTAAGAGCCAATGCTTCTATTTTAGTGTGAAGACTCTTTTTCTATACCATACTCTGGCACAGTGAACAATGCGACTCAGTGACACAGAGAGAGCAGCCACATACAGTATGAGTCACTAGTGCTGCAGCAGGGGTTACAGGAGTCCACACTCTGCAGCCGGAAACCAGAGATAACTAACTAACCACAACTCACTAAGTAGCTAGGAGAACAACGCCACAGAACAATAATATATCAGTCACAATACCCATGATTCACATTAAAAATGACACTTGTAAGTCTTTAGTGACTTGCACTTCTGCAAAGCACTGGATTAGAGTGGAACTGACAGCACAAAAAACAGTATCTTCAGACAAAAATATCTGTTGGTATCTAATATGTAGTGATCAGATAAAAATAATCAGGTGAATAGTTTCTGAACAGCTAACATATCACACATATGACCAAACTAAACATCATCTCACCTGTACCGATACTAATGATGTCTTATACAATTACATTTTATTCAATTTTTTAAATGTTTTTATTACAGCCAATAAGCCAACAGTTACAGACAAGACATTTATGAAACATGACTAAACTCCACATGATAATGACTTGCTTCCTTTTCTCCAGGAGGTCCACTCATGTCCCACATCAGTATGGCTGGCCGTACACCTGCCTCTGCTGCGTTGGCTTACATCCTAATAAGCTGTATCTAATACTGATTAGAATTCCTGTTTTTTTCTCCGCCATGTTCCTTTTGTTTTTCCAAATTCCAATACAGGTTGAGAGATCATCAGAAAAAAATATAACTCTTTTATAGTCGCCACATGACCTTCTGATATTCTATCTGCATGGGTAGAATTCACAAGCATTTTTTATACAAATAAACCACTAACATCACATAGAGGATAAGAAAAAATTGAAAACAAGATATACTACTGAAATTTATCACAATACTTAAAAACAACATTAAATGTTTAGGGTTTAAAGTCATATCTAGGTAAAATGGAATGAAGATGATTGTTTTTAGCCTTCAAAAAATAATACAAGTAAACAATAAATACAAACAATATGCTTTATCCATATAGACATATTTACATAAGTCTTTGGCTTATGATTAAGATTTGCTACAAAATAAAACCAAAATGAGTCAGCCATCAGTGCACAATACAAACATTACCAAGCCAATGTCACATGTTAGCACTTCTATTCATGTATAGAGTGCAGTATCTTTTCTTTCACATTTGTGATGGACTTCTATAGATATATATTGTTCGTTGACAATAATGCTGATAATATAGAAGACATTTTTTTTGCTTTTTTTGCATGCAACACCTTGGCATTAGTGTTACCCTTTCTACAATGGCTGCACATAAAAATAACTAAATCTGCAAAAGACATTGAAGCAAATGTGGCCTAAGGGCCGACACTTGTTTCTGTGGCACTGAATACGGTGAAGTACTGTACAATGGAGACATTTACAAACCACTCACATCATACTCCCAGTACAATTAGAAACATTAAAGATTTCTAAAAAAATCCCAAACCATCTATAGCAGTCTGTATGGGCTTAGTCAATGATGCCCGCCTCCACACAATCTGTAGCGGTGGAATGGTTGCCAAGATCCAGAGTTCTGTTCCGTCCCGTCTTCTTGGTTAAGACGTCTCAATGAATTCCAGAGCAAGGTCATAGCAGAAGCGGTACTGATCCTGTTCAGATGAAAACACATCTTGTATTAACCGCTCTGTGGTGCTAAACATGATGCTACAGTACAACAGTATATGATGAACAATACAGTAATAACATGGTTTAATCACTACTGAACGGTATATTCAATTCTTAATATTAAAATATGTTATCTCTAACTATTCTCTGGCAGTGAAATGAGGAGGTAACTTTCACACATGGCTGCATAGGATGTGTAAAGGATGTGGCGAGGAGTCTCATGTTAGCCCACAACAGTTTATTTTATAAACTCAACAGACTTCTGTTCACGTCTCAGTGATCCATAACATTACCATTGTTGTATATTTTTTACAATATCGCTTGGTTAAAATGTATTCAAACACAATCTGCAAAACAAATCTAACGTGAGGTGTTCCTATCTGTTCTCTTAATACCTTCATATTATTGACTGGGTTCTCTCACAATTTCTCAAGAAAATATCATAAGTGAATATCACCAGAAATTAGAGGTGATAAACTCAGCAAAAAAAAGAAACGTCCTCTCACTGTCAACTGCGTTTATTTTCAGCAAACTTAACATGTGTAAATATTTGTATGAACATAACAAGATTAAACTGAGACATAAACTGAGCGACGTTGTTGCCGGTGATGTCTGGTGAGGACCTCCTTACAACAGGCCTACAAGCCCTCAGTCCAGCCTTTCTCAGCCTATTGCGGACAGTCTGAGCACTGATGGAGGGATTGTGCGTTCCTGGTGTAACTCGGGCAGTTGTTGTTGCCATTCTGTACCTGTCCCGCAGGTGTGATGTTCGGATGTACCGATCCTGTGCAGGTGTTGTTACACATGGTCTGCCACTGCGAGGACGATCAGCTGTCCGTCCTGTCTCCCTGTAGCGCAGTCTTAGGCGTCTCACAGTACGGACATTGCAATTTATTGCCCTGGACACATCTGCAGTCCTCATGCCTCCTTGCAGCATGCCTAAGGCATGTTCACGCAGATGAGCAGGGACCCTGGGCATCTTTCTTTTGGTGTTTTTCAGAGTCAGTAAAAAGGCCTCTTTAGTGTCTTAAGTTTTCATTACATTTACATTTTAGTCATTTAGCAGACGCTCTTATCCAGAGCGACTTACAGTTAGTGAGTGCATACAATTTTTTTATTTTTTTATTTTTTTCATTTCATACTGGCCCCCCGCGGGAATCGAACCCACAACCCTGGCGTTGCAAACGCCATGCTCTACCAACATCCCTGCCTGCCATTCCCTCCCCTACCCTGGACGACGCTGGGCCAATTGTGCGCCGCCCCATGGGTCTCCCGGTCACGGCCGGCTACGACAGAGCCTGGATTCCAACCAGGATCTCTAGTGGCACAGCTAGCACTGCGATGCAGTGCCTTAGACCACAGCGCCACTCGGGAGACATACCTGTGACCTTAAAGCTGTTAGTGTCTTAATGACCATTCCACAGGTGCATGTTCATTAATTGTTTATGGTTCATTGAACAAGCATGGGAAACAGTGTTTTAACCCTTTACAATGAAGATCTGTGAAGTTATTTGGATTTTTACGAATTATCTTTGAAAGACAGGGTCCTGAAAAAGGGACGTTTCTTTTTTTGCTGAGTTTATTAGCACCATATAATGAGTCAGAGATGCGTCTGTCTGAAACTCAGTTGGACTGATCTGGGGTCAGTCAGTTGGCCTGTCTTACCGGGCTGTCCACCATGTTGGGCTTGCTGTTCCTCAGGCTCTTGACTGCATGGAACACGTCCACCACATTCTGCCTCTTGATCATCTCACACACAATGCTGATAGCACAGAACATCCCACTGCGCCCGCCTCCGTTCCTACAGCACAGGAACACAAGGGTGGAAGTGTGAGGTTGATTGGGTGACTTTTCCACTGAACTATCAAACTTGTGAAATATAATAGGTGGGTGCAGGTGGAAGAGAGGTGATAGGATTTGTATTTGTATGCATGCATGTAGGTGTTAGTGTGTGGGAGTAGTGGTGGTGGTGGAGGGTGTGTGTGTACACTCACAGGCAGTGGATGATGGTTCGTCCCTCTCCCTCTTCACACTCCTCCTGCCACTTGTCCACCTGCAGTATGAGCTTGAGGAAGGAGCGCTTTGACGCTGGGACTTCTCTGTGGGCGGCCCAGCCCAGGTACTGGAACTGCCTCACCATCAGATAGCCCTCCTGAGGCTGTGGGGAACACAGCAACACACATCAGCAATGGCAGCCAGTTTGGCATTATTCTCATCAAACCATCCTAGTATTATAACCTTGACTGGTATTAAAGGGATAGTTCAGGCAAAATCTATATTTGGGTGGAATTACCCTTACCTTGAGTTGTGTCTGAAGGCCCATAGTGACAAAATCCACAATAATTAAATTGTTTACTTCTGCCAAAGCCACACACTAGCATAATTAGCATCGTCCAAATGCATGCATGTAAACAGACAAATAGATGTTAGCAAAGCTGCATTGCAAGCTGAAACTTCCTCAAAAGCACTTCAAACTGAATTCGGTAGTTGGTGGAATTTGCAGGGATCTTCTTTACGTGCATACTGCTGAAATAATCGCTGGAATTTTGTCACTCAAAACTCTGTTGTTTGCTTTAACATGGACAATAAAGTTGTATTGTATTGTATTCCATTCCATTGGGCACTCAGATGTGGATTGATTTAGCAGATGTGAACAAACTCACCGGTGGCTTGATGGAACTATCAGAGAATTGGAATATTCAGATATTAATGCAAAAGTAACCACATTCTTGCGGGGAAGAAAACATGGACAGGTTCTTCACGAGTATTGACGCTACCAAACTTAGTCTGAAGTGCTTTTGAGGATGTTTCTGCATCCAATGCAGCTTTGCTAACATCGCTCCGTCTGTTTACATTCATGAATTTGGACGATGCTAATTATGCTAGCTCCTGGCTGTGGCAGAAGTAAACAATAGATTATTGTGGATTCTGTCACAATTGGCCTTCAGACACAACTTAAGGTAAGGGTAATACATTATGGTATACTAGCTACTTACTCTAGTGAGGTTACATATTCTGAAGAGACGGCTGATGACGTCACAATCCATGGAGCAGGACATGCATTCAACTTGGACAGGACCGTAGCGGAGCATCCCCTCTTCAGGCCAATACTGAGGACAGCCCTGATTGAAAACAACAACCTTAGCAATGACATGTACCTTCACACAAACTTTAGGAACCGTATTCGAAAATGTACAATAATGACATTTGGAATCAGGGTTCACAGCAGTGAATGCAGGAGGGTGAGGTGGTCAGGTATTACCTGCGCTAGGTCAATCTCGTTGAGCATCACCAGGGAAGTGCAGCCATAGTCATAAACCAGCCTCCAGAAGTCCTTGACTGTGTTGGGCAGAGGGTGCTGGGTTACGATGAAGGCTGCTGGCTGTCTGTAGCTCTGCAGTGGATGAAAGTCAACAGGGAACCATGTAACATCTCATAGCACTGAATCTGCAGACATACAGAGAACACATACTAGAAATTATACAACGGGTGGGTCTAATCCTGAATGCTGATTGGTTAAAACTGCATTCCAGCCGGTAACTATTTCACAAATTACCACCGACTAAATCTATGACGTTGAAATGCCTATTTACTCTGTTCCATCTCACTGCGCAATCCACTGTCTCATCAACCCTGCCAGGAAATGTATCACCATAATCTCCACTATAAAAAGCATCAACAACAGAGATTTGTATAAACCTTGCTGTCTTTCTCTACGACCTTTTCAATATTGTTTCAATATTGAATTGCGATCTCGACCGTCCCATATAAAGTGAATGTGTCCGAACGAGACAGACAGCAAATTGAGCTGGTTGTCATAGCAACATACACAACTTCTTCTCAGTTGACTGGCTAAATCGATACTTTGTTGCGAAAACTAAAATGTATTTTGATCTTTTCGGCGGCATGACTATGGATGAATGGGAAAAAGAGATGGCAATAATAGAGAACGCCCTTGCATTTTATCTCCACCCAAGGAGAGGAGAGTGTATCGGGGACTCGATCTGGTACACGTCAGAGCCGATGGGCGTGAACTATCTGGCAGCACTTCAGGATCTGCAGGGCAGCGGGAACAACTACATACAAAAAACACAGCATCAGGACCACGACAGTCCAGAAACTGGCCAATGCTGGTTTAGAAGCGAGGGAGATTATGTCAGTGAGTGGGCATCGGTGCGAAGGTTCGCTCCATAGCTACTGGTGTCCCTCACTGACAGACAGAAAACGCTGGAGCAACATCCTGGCCGAAAACAAAGAGAACACTGCAGCACCATCAACCCCCAAAAGGCTGAAGCAAGGCAGCAGAAATAGTAGCACAGACTCCAATGCACAACCCAGGGGAATGTACAGAGAATTGTGACATACAATAAGTAGCTATAGCTTTTTCAGCTGTGGTGGATAACAAAGAGAATGTATGATTTCATTTATTTAAAATCAGCTCAAATGAATGTAATGGATTGTCTTTCTTTTGTCTGAACAGTGTCCTGACAAGCGAGAACATTTTCACTGCCAGGCAAATTCGCGCATCATAAGCTCATTGTTATGGATGTATCTAAATAAATCGAATTACAAAACAGCTTAAACAAATGCAAATGCACTACTTTGCTGTTATTCTGACTGCACTTTTTGACATGACTGTAAATTAGCCGTAGTTGGCTGGCTAGCAAGCAAGGGATAAGAACGTTGCAAGTCAGTATGGCAATGGAACATTTAGAATGAACGACTGGGTCGCGTCTATAGATACAGAACAAAAAGAACGAACGACCGTGTCAAGTCTCTAGCAACCCTAGATTTGTGTCGGGACTATATCTCGTGGAAGGATGAAATGGTACGAATAAATTAATCAAAATAACGTTTTTAATGAAAATCCTTATTTGAATATGTTGGAAACCCGTTGTATAAAAGTGACAATGCCCTCAAGGCCGGTGTTTGTTGGATATATTGGCACGGTTTGTCGGCCCTCAACTTCTTCTCGGGCCTAACAACACCCGTGCCAATATATCCAACAAACACCGGCTTCGAGGGCATTATCACTTAAATAATGTACATCTCTCACAATGAACAATGTGTGGATATATGACCATGCAAGGAATGTGGAGAACTTTCACGTTTGAATGACAAGTGTGTTCTTAAAACCAGGGCAATCCATGGGGTGGGCATGCGTCTATCAACCTTATATAAATTAAATGAAGTTCTGCTGACATACACCTTAATTAAGCCATGAAACAAATCCAGTATAGTTAGAAGCATTTAATTATTGAGAAGTGAAAAGTTCAGAAATTACCTGGTATTCTTCTGACGGCTTGGTTAGAAAAAGTCCAAAAGTTTATAAAATGTACGAGGAAGTGATTTAAAATTACCCTCTAAAATAAAAAAGCTCATAATCTGGCAAAAATCTGCTTCTCTGTGCACATGAAATACCATCTCCCAAGGTCTATGTCAAGACTCATAGGTTTGTATTTATTCATCCAGGTTTGTCTCATTCAGATACAAATTTCAAATTTCTATTGGAGTTCTACAAAGGACTGAGAAGAGGATTTGAATTCAACCTTTGTATAAAATATACTGTATAATATAGAAGAAAAACAGCATGGTCATGTTTAGTAAGGTGTCAAGTCACCAACCACATTCCCTCTGCTATATGCAATGTATTGCAAGGAGGGTACAGCTATGGGGTAGCTTCTCACCCTTCTATCAACTACACATCTATGACAAGATGACTCCCAGAAGATGGATTCACTTTCTGGCACAGATCCTGATATCAAACTAAGATAAACCGGATCCAAGAGGTCTAGTAGTGATGCATTCTGTTGTAATATGAGGATCCTGTTGTAATATGAGGATACTGTTGTAATATGAGGATACTGTTGTAATATGAGGATCCTGTTGTAATATGAGGATCCTGTTGTAATATGAGGATCCTGTTGTAATATGAGGATCCTGTTGTAATATGAGGATCCTGTTGTAATATGAGGATCCTGTTGTAATATGAGGATCCTGTTGTAATATGAGGATACTGTTGTAATATGAGGATACTGTTGTAATATGAGGATCCTGTTGTAATATGAGGATCCTGTTGTAATATGAGGATCCTGTTGTAATATGAGGATCCTGTTGTAATATGAGGATCCTGTTGTAATATGAGGATCCTGTTGTAATATGAGGATCCTGTTGTAATATGTGGATACTGTTGTAATGTGTGGATAATGTAGTAAAGTTACCAGCTGGACTATTGTTTGAACTAATAATAAAATATAATGTAGTTACACTGTACTTGTTTCACTTACCCCGCCCTTCCATCAAACGGGTCAAACCTTTTGGGGGGACTTTTGTTTTATTTGAAAACCCAAAATTATTAAAAGCGCAAGTGTAATTTAGGACCACATGAATAGCCATCTTGAAGAATAATGTCAACGTGATATAGTTGAAGAGTTAGATTACCAAAACTTTCTAAAAAAAAGTATTAAAATGTAGCACATTTTAATTTGGTATTTTCATTAACATCACTACTTGCACTGCCAGAAAATAATAGAAGGATTGCCAAAAAAAGAACTAAAAGCCTTGAGCACACATTAAATATACAATGAATATCAGTCCTTCATTTAGAGTACAGAAAACAGAAGTATACACCTGGATTTGTCTCTAGCTTTCTGTCTCTACTATACATTCAGACAACATCTAGTGCACTTAGTGAGCCGAGTGAGTGTGTATGTGTGTGTATGTGTGTGTGTGTGTTTGCGTGTGTGCGTGCGTACATGCATGTGTATGTGCATTTCTATACTGTGTGTGTGTGCTTACGCGTGCATGAGGGGAGAGGACACTTACATCCATGAGGGCAGCGTTGATGTAGTTACTGCTCTCCCCGTCGATGGTGATGAGGAAGGGCAGACAGCGGTCTGGAGGCAGCATGTCCATGAAGCGGTTCTTCTCGTGGTTCCTGGGGAGCAGGGCGATGCTGCAGTCCTCTGGCTGGGGCTGAGGGGTCACCGAGTTCAAAGTCTGAAAACAACACAAATAACATGAAACCACAAGTCAGGGAACATTGTTTGTTAGGAGACATGGGATGCATCCCAAATGGCACCCTATTCCCAGGTCAAAAGGTCAAAAGTAGTGCACTCTATAGGGAATAGGGTGCCATTTGGAACACAACCATGATCTATTTCCCTGTTTTTATTGTTGTTTTTTATTGTTGTACAAGACATGAAAGCCTGAGGAGTTAAACAGAACTTTGTGCCCCAATAAATATGAAAGGATAGTCCTCCAGTACCTGGAATTCATCTTTGAGGTGTGAGGAGTTGCTCTGTGAGTCTATCCTGATCATGTCGTAGTAAGCTGCTTTGTACTCGCAGGCAGGGATGGCCGTCTCTCCACACAGACAGGCCTCTAGGATGGCGTCATGGATGAAGATGTACTGCTCCTGTGGCCAGACCACAGACACACACTCAGCAAGGGAACGCACTGCATCTCCATACAGTCAATACATACAGTAGCATGAAATGCACAGACAGACAGTAATGGTGAATGGTGTTAATGTTAATTGGTGAGGTGTGTGGCGGTGGGGTGGGCATAGTAGTCACCTCAGTCTGTACCATGTTGATGCGTCTGGAGCGCAGGGCCTTCACACAGTTGTAGATGTCCACCACGCCCTCCCTCTCCGCCATGTCCAGCATGATGTCGATGACGATGTAACAGCCTGTGCGTCCGGCTCCAGCGCTGACCAGGGAGAGAGGGCAGCGAGAGGACAGGAAGGTGAGCATGGCTGCACAGCACTACACTTCAAATCAAATCACATTTTATTTGTCACATGCGCTGAATACAACAGTGAAATGCTTACTTACAAGCCCTTAACCAACAATGCAGTTGTAAGAAAGAATACCAAAAAAAAAATCACAGCCATTGTGCAGTACACACAACAATGATGCAATGATGCTAAATTTATACACTTGCCCCCTCCCCCATCCCCCCTCCACTGATACATGTGAAAATATTGGACTATAAATTGTGCCTTCCTGTATTATACTTATGCTAAAATGTCTATTCTATTCTACTGAGCCATTTACTTTATGTTCCTATTCTTATCTTATTTCTTATTATTGTTGCATTGTTGAGAAGGAACCTGCTAGTAAGCATTTCATTGGACAATGTATACCATGTGTATCCTGTACATACGACTAATAAAACATGAAACTTGAACTATGCACAAGACTAAATTGACAAGCGTGTGCATTGTTCAACAACATCCATAGCAACCACATCCTGTCAAGGGGCAAGGTGAAATCGTATCTAGCGTAGCTGTGGTTGATATTGAAGCATGCTAGCTAGTCCGTGCGCACACATTTCACATGTGAGAGATCAAAGAAACGTGAATCGGAAGCACCTGTTTTCTCAGAAGATCTGGCTATGAGAGCGTAGAGGAAGCATCGTGTTAGGGGCTTACCTGCAGTGCACCACGATGGGCCCAGCGCTGGGGGGGTTGGAAATCTTGACCCGGCGGATGAAGGAGAGGAGGCCCGTGGCGTGGTAGGGCACTCCGTGGTCAGGCCAGCCGGTAAAATGAAACTGCTTCACCTCGCGTAGCTCGTTAAAGCCTCTCTGATGACAGAGAACATACAGGTTATTAGTTCACAACTGGTCTGGGTTCAGTCTGAATTCCACATTTGCAATATGTGTTGATTTTAAGGGCCAATCAAACAACAACAAAGGGGTGGATGTACCAATCCCAGATTGCCCCTTTAACTGTTATAGATCAAACTGTTGAATACAGAAGTGAGGGGTGGATAAAGGATTGACTCACCCTCTCCAAGGTAAACGTTCTGACCACATATTCAGCAAGGGGTTCCACCTCCACAAATGTCACTTTGAAATCACCATAGACCTCAGCATCATCGGGCCAGTACTTGTAACACTTCACCTACAAGAACATGAGTATTTAATTCATTTAAAACAAAAGATGTCTTTAAATAATACACACACATAAATACACACAATAGGTGCCCAGGTATACAGTATGTAAGATTAATATATGAAGACTGTTCAAGGGCCTACAGTACATTGGCCTCCTGATCTGACAGTAATGACACTATCACCTACCCGTCCAACTTCCACGAGGTTGGTGACCATGACGATACAGGCAGACTGCTCTTGCCAGACCATCCTCCAGAAATCATAGACTGTCTCATGGACAGGCCCTGGAGAGGATAACACATATTGATCAATCAATCAATCAATCAATCAATCAATCAATCAATACAAATACAGTGGGGAGAACAAGTATTTGATACACTGCCAATTTTGCAGGTTTTCTACTTACAAAGCATGTAGAGGTCTGTCATTTTTATCATAGGTACACTTCAACTGTGAGAGACGGAATCTAAAACAAAAATCCAGAAAATCACATTGTATGATTTTTAAGTAATTAATTAGCATTTTATTGCATGACATAAGTATTTGATCACCTACCAACCAGTAAGAATTCCGGCTCTCACAGACCGGTTAGTTTTACTTTACTTCTCCACTCATTACCTGTATTAACTGCACCTGTTTGAACTCGTTACCCGTATAAAAGACACCTGTCCACACACTCAATCAAACAGACTCCAACCTCTCCACAATGGCCAAGACCAGAGAGCTGTGTAAGGACATCAGGGATACAATTGTAGACCTGCACAAGGCTGGGATGGGCTACAGGACAATAGGCAAGCAGCTTGGTGAGAAGGCAACAACTGTTGGCGCAATTATTAGAAAATGGAAGTTCAAGATGACGGTCAATCACCCTCGGTCTGGGGCTCCATGAAAGATCTCACCTCGTGGGGCATCAATGATCATGAGGAAGGTGAGGGATCAGCCCAGAACTACACGGCAGGACCTGGTCAATGACCTGAAGAGAGCTGGGACCACAGTCTCAAGGAAAACCATTAGTAACACACTACGCCGTCATGGATTAAAATCCTGCAGCGCACGCAAGGTCCCCCTGCTCAAGCCAGAGCATGTCCAGGCCCGTCTGAAGTTTGCCAATGACCATCTGGATGATCCAGAGGAGGAATGGGAGAAGGTCATGTGGTCTGATGAGACAAAAATAGAGCTTTTTGGTCTAAACTCCACTCGCCGTGTTTGGAGGAAGAAGAAGGATGAGTACAACCCCAAGAACACCATCCGAACCATGAAGAATGGAGGTGGAAACATCATTCTTTGGGGATGCTTTTCTGCAAAGGGGACAGGACGACTGCACCGTATTGAGGGGAGGATGGATGGGGCCATGTATCGCGAGATCTTGGCCAACAACCTCCTTCCCTCAGTAAGAGCATTGAAGATGGGTCGTGGCTGGGTCTTCCAGCATGACAACGACCCGAAACACACAGCCAGGGCAACTAAGGAGTGGCTCCGTAAGAAGCATCTCAAGGTCCTGGAGTGGCCTAGCCAGTCTCCAGACCTGAACCCAATAGAAAATCTTTGGAGGGAGCTGAAAGTCCGTATTGCCCAGCGACAGCCCCGAAACTTGAAGGATCTGGAGAAGGTCTGTATGGAGGAGTGGGCCAAAATCCCTGCTGCAGTGTGTGCAAACCTGGTCAAGACCTACAGGAAACGTATGATCTCTGTAATTGCAAACAAAGGTTTCTGTACCAAATATTAAGTTCTGCTTTTCTGATGTATCAAATACTTATGTCATGCAATAAAATGCAAATTAATTACTTAAAAATCATTCAATGTGATTTTCTGGATTTTTGTTTTAGATTCCGTCTCTCACAGTTGAAGTGTACCATGATAACCTCATTCAATGTGATTTTCTGGATTTTTGTTTTAGATTCCGTCTCTCACAGTTGAAGTGTACCTATGATAAAAATTACAGGGGTACTTTGTCTTACCTTGAGTTGCAATGTAATGACTTGGCCTCTGATACCCCTGAAAAGTGCAACAATCACAATACTTTAAGATCATTGTGTAAGACGTTTATATAGTGCAGCAACAACAGCAGACTACTACATAGCACACCGTGCCTCAACCCCAGCTTGGACTGCATGAGATCCCTCTTCAGGAAAGTCAATGGCTTTATGCGCTAATATGCACAGAGCTGTTCTCGTGTACCAATTAATTCACTAATATAAACTTTCAATGAGAGAACATTTCCTACTTGTGCTTTGAGTATGTGTCAATTAAATGGACATATATTGCTTTGTAAAGCTCAACTCTGGTGTGTTTTAATGCCAAGAATGTTTCATTATCGATTACTTCGTAGGAATACTACATTACTGTAATTGGCTGCTTACTAGCAAGTTCCTTTATAGAGTCAATAGGTCCTAACACTCCAAATGATCCCTATCAGATTTGATCTGGCTGGGTACAGGCACAGTAGGGGAGGCAACAAAGGAAAAACACAGGCGGCCACCATCTTGTAAATATGACAACCATTCCTATTGAGAACAGTAGCACACGGATCAGGGATGTACACGTCGGGCATGAGGACATGTGAAATGAGAGAAGCTGATGAACAACAGCATGGTAGGATCAAATCAAAAAGGGGGGAGATGGGAGAACATCTCATGCGTTTCCGTGCAGATGTTGTTAGAAGTAACCAGAGGTGAACGAGGAGGGAGAGTGGAAAACATGAGGTGTGGTGAGGTCCCCTACAGTGATACTTACATCCCTGTACAGCCATATCTACAGCCCAAATCATAGGCAAGAGTGAAAGAAAGCACAACAATGTCAGTGAGTACAAGCACTTTGACTGAAGGAGGAAAATAAAAGCTGTATTCATATTGTTGACAAAGGCATGCATAGAAGGCCTCACATACGAGAGAAGGACGGTTGTGTCGCACACGTTCGCCAATGGAGGAGGCTGCGCCACTTACGTCAATGTAGTTGGCGTTGATATAGTCAGAGGAAGGGTCGTCTTCCATTGGTTGCAGGATCACTCTAGAATGATCGTCTGTAATATAACATGGGTTAGTAGGCTGGCTAGTTTTATTTGACTAACAGCAAGTCAAATCAAAATGATTCTTCCCAAATTTCCTGAGAATAAGAGGAGTCAGGTAAGGATATGATAACATATTGATTTTATGGTTTGCCATATTTAATGAGCTAATTCCTAAAAGTACACAAGCCAAAAGGAGGCATCAACACCTAGCAACTTTATTAGAAGTTAAATACAAGACTTACATGCAATGATGTTTCCATAGCGGTTCTTGGTTCTGTTAGTGTCTTTCTTTGCCACATCCCAGGAAGCGGACTGGCCTTCAAAAAAACTCTGCACACCAAACAGAATGGAACAGAGTGAGTGAGGCTGATAAGAACACACGTTTAGCAAGTATGTACACCACTACTGTCTAGACGGTGGGTAAGGCACTGCAAAATAATCAAAAGGCAGTTTTCTATGGACTTTTCTATTGTATGTCTGTCCAAGAACCATCACTTCAAAGCTTCGATGTCTAGCCTGGTGGGTCTCAGAAAACAATAGACACACAAGGTGGCAAATGCGACACATTTTCTGGCAACAATGTGGCCAATTAAAAAAGTGAAATTAATTATTCTACTGTCCATTGAAGTACAAAGGGCTGGAGAGTAAATGCAGTGTGAGGTTTGATGCTCAAAACCTCTACGTTTGGTCTTCACCACTGTGATCATTATCTAATACTAATGGGGAGATGACTATCAGAGCTGAGCCATATAAGTCTATGTCTGTAACTTTTTTCACAACACTTCTATACTAAACCCTTGAACTTTCAAATGCTGCAGAGCAAGAAACTGAACGTCTCTAAACCCCTGCAGGCAGTGTGGAGCGACTCACGGGCAAACCGCCCCCTGACAGGAAACTCTCTCTCTGCAGGGCTGTGGTCGCCCATCCAGTCGACACAGTGAGCATCGAAGAACCACGACAGGATGTGACATAATCCCTATGACATTTTAGCTTGTTCTCCACTGTAGGAATATTGTATTTTTTTAAGAACCTCCCAATAATGTTGTATATTTCATTTGTACCAGATTAGAATTTTATGAAGTTAAAGGTGTGTTGATGTTTCGAATAGTGAGACTATCAGTAAGACTGTCTTGAGGGCTGAGGAACACATAGATTTATCTAAAATGTACGGTGGCCCTAAGGGTCTGTCACTTCATTTTAAAAGCTACTCTGCCATTTAGGACCACCGTAAATATGCTATGTTATAAGTACAGAATAGAGTCTTAGGGCCTTGTGTTATGTTATGGGTGTACTGTAGACTCGAGTCTTAGGGCCTTGTGTTATGTTATGGGTGTACCGTAGACTCGAGTCTTAGGGCCTTGTGTTATGTAATGAGTACTGTAGACAAGAGTCTTAGGGCCTTGTGTTATGTTATGGGTGTACTGTAGACTCGAGTCTTAGGGCCATGTGTTATGTTATGGGTGTACCGTAGACTAGAGTCTTAGGGCCTTGTGTTATGTTATGGGTGTACCATAGACTAGAGTCTTAGGGCCTTGTGTTATGTAATGAGTACTGTAGACAAGAGTCTTAGGGCCTTGTGTTATGTTATGGGTGTACCGTAGACTAGAGTCTTAGGGCCTTGTGTTATGTAATGAGTACTGTAGACTCGAGTCTTAGGGCCTTGTGTTATGTTATGGGTGTACCGTAGACTAGAGTCTTAGGGCCTTGTGTTATGTAATGAGTACTGTAGACAAGAGTCTTAGGGCCTTGTGTTATGTTATGGGTGTACTGTAGACTCGAGTCTTAGGGCCATGTGTTATGTTATGGGTGTACCGTAGACTAGAGTCTTAGGGCCTTGTGTTATGTTATGGGTGTACCGTAGACTAGAGTCTTAGGGCCTTGTGTTATGTAATGAGTACTGTAGACTCGAGTCTTAGGGCCTTGTGTTATGTTATGGGTGTACCGTAGACTAGAGTCTTAGGGCCTTGTGTTATGTAATGAGTACTGTAGACAAGAGTCTTAGGGCCTTGTGTTATGTTATGGGTGTACCGTAGACTAGAGTCTTAGGGCCTTGTGTTATGTAATGAGTACTGTAGACTCGAGTCTTAGGGCCTTGTGTTATGTTATGGGTGTACCGTAGACTAGAGTCTTAGGGCCTTGTGTTATGTAATGAGTACTGTAGACAAGAGTCTTAGGGCCTTGTGTTATGTTATGGGTGTACTGTAGACTCGAGTCTTAGGGCCATGTGTTATGTTATGGGTGTACCGTAGACTAGAGTCTTAGGGTCTTGTGTTATGTTATGGGTGTACCGTAGACTAGAGTCTTAGGGCCTTGTGTTATGTAATGAGTACTGTAGACTCGAGTCTTAGGGCCTTGTGTTATGTTATGGGTGTACCGTAGACTAGAGTCTTAGGGCCTTGTGTTATGTAATGAGTACTGTAGACAAGAGTCTTAGGGCCTTGTGTTATGTTATGGGTGTACCGTAGACTCAAGTCTTAGGGCCTTGTGTTATGTTATGGGTATACTGTAGACTAGAGTCTTAGGGCCTTGTGTTATGTTATGGGTGTACTGTAGACTCGAGTCTTAGGGCCTTGTGCTGTGTAATGGGTGTACTGTAGATTAGAGTCATGGGGTCTGACCTCATACTCCTCCTTGAAGCCATAGCTGTCGGAGGTCTTCATCAGGTTGATGTGTTGGAGCAGGTCAGCCACCCTGATGGCTGGGTGCAGTTGACCGGTCTGGTAGGGCGAATCTGTCCCCTCACAGTGGTACCGGGGGACGTCCAGCAGCCGACTGGACTCTGCAGCAGCTGCAGTGTGGTTCTCATCTGTCCAGGGAAATCACACGTTGGTGAGGAATACACAGGCTTGTGAAGGAGCATTATCACTCAACATCACAATCACAAACACTCACAGAGCACATATCTGGCCTGTGTGCAAATCATGACGAATCCCCTATTATAACCACATTGGGTGTGTTTCTCTTACAAACCTACATGTTTTTCTAGCAAAAATGGCAAATAAAAATAGCATTTTCTTTCTGGCAAATAACATGGCTCCTGCCAGTACACTATCTATCTAAAGCAACCCCCCAGTGAGGCCGCTAAGCTGTGAGGGATGTAAGCCACATGGCACCTGGCAGTCACTGACGTGTCGAGTCAGCTTGGTGAGTGGGCAAGACGGAGCTTGATACAGCCGAGGAGTGGTGTGCCTGCCTTTCCCAGCAGACAAACAGACGGACAGACACAGGGGCCTCTCAGTGAAGACTGTGTGAGGGCAGGACACTTTCAGGGGAGAGATGCTGGACTCACAGGCCTGACAGGCACCATATGTGCCCTTTAATGTCTTATCTGAACCATGTCAACCCCTCAGACACACAACCATTTAACAGCCTGCCCGGGAGACAGGAGATGAGTGTGTGTGTGTGTGTCTGTGAGTGCGGCGTGAGTGTGTGTGGGCGTGCGTGTGGGAAAGTGAGGTGGTTGGCTGTTGAGACCCAGGTTCTCCTTAGGAAGAATCTACACCCCTCTAAAGCCCAGCCTGACCTACTGGCAATCACATGACCTACTGAGCCATGAGCTCTACATCCTTCCTGCTTGGCTAGCTCCTGAGCTACTGCCACCCCACAAATGTAGGTTTAGGGGAATGTTAAGTCACGGTTTAAGGACCCCGCACAATTTACTGTCAGTGGAGGGGAAGTCAGCTACTGTTACTGAAACATACATCCATTTAATGGATAAATCATTAACACAATAGCATTGAGATCCAGTATATGTTCTCTGGCAATCAATTTCTTTTCATTTCATTAAACACTTTGGGACACTTTCCACACACACTGGTCACATGCACTTACCGGTAATTGGCACTTTATAATAAGGACAGCAAGAAAAGAAAAAAACAAGAGCTTTTAGCTAGATAAACAGTTAGCACACAGGGTTTGTAGTACATATATAATACAAATGTATACACACACACACACACACACACACACATACACTACCGTTCAAAAGTTTGGGGTCACTTAGAAATGTCCTTGTTTTCAGAAGAAAAGCAATTTTTTTGTCCATTAAAATAACATCAAATTGATAAGAAATACAGTGTAGACATTGTTAATGTTGTAAATGGCTATTGTAGCTGGAAACGGCTGATTTTTAATGGAATGTCTACATAGGCGTACAGAGGCCCATTATCAGCAACCATCAGTCCTGTGTTCCAATGGCACATTGTGTTTGCTAATCCAAGTTGATCATTTTAAAAGGCTAATTGATCATTAGAAAACCCTTTTGCAATTATGTTAGCACAGCTGAAAACTGTTGTGCTGATTAAAAAGCAATAAAACTGGCCTTCTTGAGACTAGTTGAGTATCTGGAGCATCAGCAATTGTGGGTTCGATTACAGGCTCAAAATGGCCAGAAACAAATAACTTTCTTCTGAAACTCTTCAGTCTATTCTTGTTCTGAGAAATGAAGGCTATTCCATGCGAGAAATTGCCAAGAAACTGAAGATCTCGTACAACGGTGTGTACTACTAAACTAGACACCTCAAAGGTCCTCAACTGGCAGCTTCATTAAATAGTACCTGCAAAACAAATTGACAACTAGAATGCCAAAGGTCTGCAAGGCTGTAATTGCTGCAAATGGAGGATTCTTTGACGAAAGCAAAGTTTGAAGGACACAATTATTATTTCTATTAAAAATCATTATTTCTAACCTTGTCAATAACTACATTTCCTATATATTTTGCTATATTTCCTATTCAAACTCATTTCATGTATGTTTTCATGGAAAACAAGGACATTTCTAAGTGACCCCAAACTTTTGAAGGTAGGGTATATATATATACACACACACAACACACACACACACACACACACACACACACACACACACACACACACACACACACACACACACACACACACACATATATACAGTACCAGTCAATAGTTTGGACACACCTACTCATTCAATATTTTTTCTTTATTTTTTACTATTTTCTACATTGTAGAAGAATAGTGAAGACATCAAAACTATGAAATAACACATATGGAATCATGTAGTAACCAAAAAAGTGTTAAACAAATCAAAATATATTTTAAATTTGAGATTCTTCAAAGAGTCACCCTTTGCCCTGATGACAGCTTTGCACACTCTTGGCATTCTCTCAACCAGCTTCACCTGAAATGCTTTTCCAACAGTCTTGAAGGAGTTCCCACATATGCTGAGCACTTGTTGGCTGCTTTTCCTTCACTCTGCCGTCCGACTCATCCCAAACCATCTCAATTGGGTTGAGGTCGGGGGATTGTGGAGGCCAGGTCATCTGATGCAGCACTCCATCACTCTCCTTCTTGGTCAAATAGCCCTTACAGAGCCTGGAGGTGTGTTGGGTCATTGTCCACTAAGCCCAAACCAGATGGGATGGTGTATCACTGCAAAACGCTGTGGTAGCCATGCTGGTTAAGTGTGCCTTGAATTCTAAATAAATCACAGACAGTGTCACCAGCAAAGCACCCCCACACCATAACACCTCCTCCACCATGCTTTACGGTGGGAATTACACATCCGGAGATCATCCGTTCACCCACACCGCATCTCACAAAGACATGGCGGTTGTAACCAGAAATCTCAAATTTGGAGACCAAAAGGACAAATTTCCACCGGTCTAATGTCCATTGCTCGTGTTTCTTGGCCCAAGCAGGTCTCTTCTTATTATTGGTGTCCTTTAGTAGTGGTTTCTTTGCAGCAATTTGACCATGAAGGCCTGATTTACACCGTCCCCTCTGAACAGTTGATGTTGAGATGTGTCTGTGACTTGAACTCAGTGAAGCATTTATTTGGGCTGCATATTCTGAGGCTAGTAACTCTAATGAACTTATCCTCTGCAGCAGAGGTAACTCTGGGTCTTCCATTCCTGTGGCGGTCCTCATGAGAGCCGTTTCATCATAGCGCTTGATGGTATTTTCGACTGCACTTGAAGACACTTTCAAAGTTCTTGACATTTTCCGTATTGATTGACCTTCATGTCTTAAAGTAATGATGGACTGTCGTTTCTCTTTGCTTATTTGAACTGTTCTTGCCATAATATGGACTTCATCTTTTACCAAATAGGGCTATCTTCTGTATACCCCCCCACCTTGTCACAACACAACTGATTGGCTCAAACGCATGAAGAAGGAAATAAATTCCACAAATTAACTTTTAAGAAGGCACACCTGTTAATTGAAATTGATTCCAGGTGACTATCTCATTAAGCTGGTTGAGAGAATGCCAAGAGTGTGCAAAGCTGTCATCAAGGCAAAGGGTGGCTATTTGAAGAATCTCAAATATAAAATATATTTTGATTTGTTTAACACTTTTTTGGTAATTACATGATTCCATTTGTGTTATTTCATAGTTTTGATGTCTTCACTATTATTCTACAATGTAAAACACCAGTCTCAACGTCAACAGTGAAGAGGCGACTCCTGGATGCTGACCTTCTAGGCAGAGTTGTAAAGAAAAAGCCATATCTCAGACTGCCCATCTTAATATTTTATTTTTATTGGCCAGTTCTTTGGAACGCTGCCTAGAAGGTCAGCATCCCAGAGTTTCCTCTTCACTGTTGACGTTGAGACTGGTGTTTTGCGGGTACTATTTAATGAAGCTACCAGTTGAGGACCTGTGAGGCGCCTGTTTCTCAAACTACACACTCTAATGTATTTGTCCTATTGCTCAGTTGTGCACCGGGGCCTCCCACTTCTCTTTCTATTTTAGTTAGAGCCAGTTTGCGCTGTTCTGTGAAGGGAGTAGTACACAGCGTTGTACGAGATCTTCAGTTTCTTGGCAATTTCTCGCATGGAATAGCTTTCATTTCTCAGAACAAGAATAGACTGACGAGTTTCAGAAGAAAGTTATTTGTATCTGGGCCTTTTGAGCCTGTAATCGAACCCACAATTGCTGATGCTCCAGATACTCAACTAGTCTCAAGAAGGCCAGTTTTATTGCTTCTTTAATCAGCACAACAGTTTTCAGCTGTGCTAACATAATTGCAAAATGGTTTTCTAATGATCAATTAGCCTTTTAAAATGATAAACTTGGATTAGCAAACACAACGTGCCATTGGAACACAGGCCTGATGGTTGCTGATAATGGGCCTCTGTACGCTTATGTAGATATTCCATTAAAAATCAGCTGTTTCCAGCTACAATAGCCATTTACAACATTAACAATGTCTAAACTGTATTTCTGATCAATTTGACGTTATTTTAATGGACAAAAATATATATATATACACACACACACATATATACACATTATTACACACATATATACACACATACATATATATATATGTGCTTATATATATATGTGTATATATATATACAATATATACTATGTATATATATGGTATATATATATGTATATATATATATATATATATATATATATATATATATATACACACACACACACACACACATATATACACATTATTACACACATACATATATGTGTATATATATATGCATATATATACATATATACACATATATACCTATGTGTATATATATATATGTGTGTGATATTATATATATTTTTTATATATAATATATATATTTAATATATATATATAAAGACGTGACATGACTGGAACGTTAGGGTGGTGGAAGTGATCACCAAACAATGACGACAGATTTGACTGTACTACATGACCAAAACACAACATTGACTTTCTTACACATTTGCAAATGGCTTTCTAGAAAGCTATGGCAGACTGACAGACACTTCTGCAGTGGGCGGGATCTAGGAGGAGTGACACTAAGCTTGTGAGAGAACTGCTGCACTCTAGAGTAGAGACTATCTAAGCTGACATTTTGACTCATTAGCAAATTAGTATTTCTTAATTCTGTCCTAACATGATAGATTGAGTCACGGTTTGAACTGCACCCTTCACTTCCTATTACCAAGCCCAGCGACAACACAGAGCTAAAATAAGACATTTTCACAGCAAGCACACTGGCCTGAGGGGGCATTTTAATTCCCCATCAAACTCAGGTTTTCAGTGAGCCGTAAAGACCCTCAGCGGTTGCTTGCTTGTTCTTTCAGTGTGGACTACACCGTGTCTAGTGTCACCGTGTCTAACACTCTCCTTCCTGATGCCATGAGTGAACACTGAACTCCATTACATAGAAACTGTCAGATGTGTTTTTTGACTCTCCACAGGCAGAGACAAGTCCCAGGGGGGCTGAGGGTGTTGTAAAATGGCACCCGCTCACAAAGTCTGTCTGACGCTATGGACTTACACACAATGACAGGATGACTGGTTTCATTCTATAACAGTGTTATGTAGGAGGTTGATCTTCAGGTTGGGGCTCAGGTGAATGTATCCGTCATATATCAATCTTCACTTTAGTTTGAATTTGTTTTCCCTCTTCATCTCTTAACCAATGCCCTGAGCAGGATATGGAGCTTGTAGACAGTTGCAATGCATACAGTGAGTCTCTGAATGGGGTTTAGCTTCAATCCAACGGCTCATGGGTTGGTTCTAAACCCTGAAGGGTTAGCTCATCTGTTCACTGGAGGACTACCACATCTCCACTCTACCATGGCTGAGGGCCAAGTGCTTTATACTGGCAGCCAGGGGAAATCTACAATCTGGAAACAATTCCTATTTTATCCCCCTTACTGGATAAGTGAATGTGGAGGCCAGTCATTCTGACAGTGATAAATTCTCAAGGCTATCGTGAATTGTGACTGACTACACAGACTTAATACAGAGACAATGGAACAGCTACAGGTTTACAATGGACGGCTACAGGACTGTGACAACGACATATGCATGAGGAACACAAGCCATGGCAGGGCAGATGACATAGCACCAGGGCCTCACCTAGCACTGCCGTTGGCACAAGTGGATCATTAGGCACTGTAGGGAAAAAAATCTTATGAGGAACATTCCAGAAGGCTTGAGTAAGCTGCAGCACACTACTGAATGATAAAGTACCAGGGGCAAGATGAACAGAGCATAAGAATAGAAGTAAATTCTACCAAAATATCCTGCACCAACGGTTCAAATCATTAAAATGCATAAAAGGAAATTCCCAAGATATGAATAAATGCCATTAAAGTAAAAACATGTAAGGTATAACTTAACGCCTCTCGTCAGAGCCTGTCTTATAGGACACTTCTCTGTAATAAGGCCTTTTCCATTGTAAGGCAGAGGGGTTATCTAACTGTCAGAAGGCTGGTGGGAGGAGCTATAGGGGGACAGGCTCATTGTAATGGCTGGAATGGAATCAATGGAACAGAGTCAAACACGTTGTTTCCATGTGTTTGATGTGTTTGGTACCATTCCATTGACTCCTTTCCAGCCATTACAATGAGCCCGTCATCCTATAGCTCCTCCCACCAGCCTCCTCTGATCTCACTGTCAGGAGGCTTTCTTACATGTATCATGTGTCTGTTGAGGGAGGTGTTTCCCAGGGATCTGTGGAGGGACTATTATACTTACATCTGTTGCTGAAATTGTGGGAGTCCATGAATGTGACAGCCATGGGATCCTCAGCATGTAGTGTGCTCTGATCAGCATAACTGCGGTCCATGGCATTAACCATGTGGGTCATTTCCTGACGAGTATTCCCGATGGCGTCTTTGCGCTTCTTGGCCAGTTTCCTGAAGGATCGGACAAACCGGTTTAAATATCACAAAAATACCTTGTCGACGATTATTTACAGGAAAGACTAAAGAGAAAGAGATGAAAGAGAAAAGCTTATCTCCATGACAACAGACCACTGGTTTGGCTTCCACATATCGCCTTTTTTAAATGGTGTTTTCATCCAATAATATGTGCAAACCCCACAAATACTGTATTCTTAGGGTCAAATATCCTTCGGTACTTACTGTAGAAGAAATATTGCCACATGGCATCCCCAATCTGGGCTCTGACAAGACATTCTGAAAAATGGGGACTCACTGTTTGGTTGATTGTCTCATTATACTTTCATCTGGACAGGAATAGATGGGGTTAATGGGGTTTGACCGATTTAACTGATTGTGTACGCACTCCCTCATTGGCCCCTGGTTGAGAAAAGCTGATTGAACACCTGCAAGACTGGGAGGCTTTTATTTCAAGGGCAATTACGACTGTGCCGGTTTCTCTACATTTGTATTGTAAAAAAGAGTACTGCGATGAAAACACATACCCACTCTATTCTATTCCTACTTCCTAATTCCACTTTGCGAGCACCCTGAAGAAAGGTGCTGCAGTACAAATGATCCTCTGATTGCAGTTTGCAGTTAGATGAAACCACTGAGATGAGGTTATTAAGCAGCCGCTCTAGTGAAATTGAAAGGAGGACTCTTTGTACTAGAGAAGAGACAGATGGGTGGACAGCAGGAGAAAGATACCAAATTGTTTAATTTCATACAGTTCTAGTAAAATGACAATTATAGGCAGAATATACTCATTTCTGCCCATCATAAATTTGAAGTGGGACCAAAATAGGTATGCACAGCAGGTTCCAATTTATCAAGAGCCATGAGAAAATTATCTGGTTTCCATGTTTTACCTTTCAATGACCTTTGATAGCGGCAAACTGTGGGATACCTCTCTTTCCCGTTGGGAAAAACAGATTGACAATTTTAATGTAATTATTGGTAACTTTCAGCTGTTCAATTATTCCAATTTAACAGGATATAATTGGCTAAATGTCCCCCAGCGCTAAGAAATTTGATATCCTAACATCGCTTTAAGGGACTATCCGAAGCCAGCATAAGATGGTCACTGCGAAGCTGATACAGTATATTTCATTTTCATGAGAGAAAAATAAATAAATCATACAAAATTATCTTGCATCGGGGGAATCATCTCCGAAATGCTGAAAAGACTCATTCACTTGAATTCACTTGAGATTGAGTGTCACTTCTAGGTATGAAATGAAACATGATTGTGAGAAATACAAAAATGAGAGGAGTGTGGAGGTAAATGCGAGGCCTGTGTAGCATAAAAAATCACTCTCACAGAGGTGAGGGTGAAATGGCAAGCATGTCGAATGGGAGCGCATGTGAGAGCATCGGCAGACTTGTCAGGACAACAGATTGGGGATTATTATTTTTTTGCTCTTAGGAAGTGGAAAGCACCACAGTGTGGAGATGATTGTCTACTGTCTACAGCGGAAAAATAACCTACACCAACCCAAAGAGGAAACCTTCTGCAACCAACATTCAGAGCAACCAATTGGAAAGGGCTTATGAGATATTTAAGACATACAACACAAGCAGTGTGCACGTGTAGAGGCACACAGTTTACCCCGTATATATCCTTTCAATGGATAAAGGAGGCCCAGGAGATGAAGAAGAGTGATGAAATACATGAGTTACTGACATACAACCACATGCACACAGATAGAACACAGGACACAAAGTGCAGCATTCTTTTTTCAAATAACACCGCTTTTGGTCATCATGACTTTGGTTTGGAGAGTGTTTCGAAGCATGTTTGAGCTAGTCAATGGCAATGGCAATTGGTTCTGAGCGATATGCGTTTTCACTTGAAAAAAGGATACTGCATCTTTAAAACACTACATAACTAATCAAGGACAAGTGCACTCATTGTATTTTGGGTTTGTTTGTTTCTGTTTTGTTGTTGTTGTTGTTGTTTGTCTGTTTACTTACAGGTAATATGAGTAAGAATAGTAGCTCCTCCTGGTACGCAAATCAGAGACAGCAGGATAAAGAAATATTGGTGAATGCAAAGTGTGAATCAGTCGGATCAACAAAAGCAGAAAAAAGTGCAAGACAACAAAATTAAATCTATGAATTAACTTCCTAATGTTAGAATTTCATTTTTACATGCATTCAAATTGAGCTGCATGCAGTTTTATGTTCCAGTGTAATTGAAGATAGTGTGCAAGAAAATTATTTTAATTACAAATATGCAAATAGTTCATATTTTGTTCTGGTTGAATTTGGAATTGGGCGGAATCATTAATGTCATGCATTAAATACTGTCTCATTCACATGGACAGTCAGACAGTCTTAAGATTGACTGTTGGTGTTATGGACTCACAAAACTATTATCATTAGATTTAGGCTATGGTGTTACATATGAAAAGAAAAGTATTGACAAGCATCGTGGATAAACACAGCTGCAAAACAAATTGCGCCATACTAAAGAACAAGCTTCTTGCTACCTGGAAAACAAGCAATGTCATGGACCACCATTTTAAAGATGCAGTATCTTTTATAGGTTCAGTTCAATAAGGGAACCACAGATTCATTATTGTATTAGATCAATGAGATGTGTCTTGCCCATAAGTATTGATCTCCTAAGTAACTAGTGTTTGTAATGTAATCATCAGATATCAACTTTCCTAAATGAAAATGAAAATAAATGTGTAATTGAAGATAGTGTGCAAGTAAAATGAAAATAAAAGAAGCATACAAATGTTGCCACTGCATTTATGTTTTGGCTTCAACCTCGATTGTTTCCGTGCAAAGCAACTACGAGATTCCAATATCCACTTCATTAACTTGTATTAAACTGGGTGGTTCAAGCCCTGAATGCTGATTGGCTGACAGCTGTGGTATATCAGACCGTATACTACGGGTATGACAAAACATTTTTTTACAGCTCTAATTACATTGGTAACCAGTTTATAATAGCAATAAGGCACCTCGGGGGTTTGTGGTATATGGCCAATATACTACGGTTAAAGGCTGTGTCCATGCACTCTGCGTTGCGTCGTGCTTAAGAACAGCCCTTAGCCGTGGTATATTGGCCATATACCACACCTCCTCGGGCCTTATTGCTTAAGTATATCATTGAGTTCTAATCTACTGGTCACCTGATTTCGGAAGAAAAGAAACTCGGTGCAACTAACAAGAGGAAGAGAGATTGAGACACAGTGTGTGTGTGAGAGAGAGAGAAATAGACCTCTAATTATCTGTAGAATAGACCGACTGAGAGGATGTCTAGTTGATTACTACACCTTGTTGACTATTACACCAACACCATTAACTACATTCAAGACATCCACAACACGTTAAGCTAACTAGTTCCAAAACAAATCCATATTTTATTGATTTTCACAAGCTTTCTCTTTACTTTGGGGACAAAGGGACATTAGTCATATTTCAGAATTCAATTACCATCAGTACTTTTAATCCATTCCAATGGGATTAGGAGTTTATGGCTCATTAGCACTCAATGTGCCCTATCGCTCCAAACCCCAGTCCTTTTTCAGGCTGAAATTACAAACCAGGAAGCCATCCAAAAACTCAAAAGCAGGCGCTGCAATTAATGCCAATGGCTTATATGAAAAGCATTCAATGAAATGAACCCCCTCCCACCTCTCTGAAAAATATTCTAAACCACAGGGAATAGATTCTATTACAAAACATGAAATACTGTGCAACTACTATAGTACACCAACACCAAACCAACACAAACCAATTGTTTGTAATACTGAACAAAGGGGTTTGAATATGCCAGACTTACTGTAGCATACTTAACTATAATTCAAAAGTCACTCCTTTAGTTTTGATCCAGAAGAGCATCGATGAAAAGTAACTTTCTTTCAATATCAGAGAAAGGGAAACTTTGTTATTATCACTCAACCCATGTCTGTCACTCATGACCAGGGAGAAAAGACTCACTTTATAACCTGACCTTTTCCTTTTATCTCCACAAAGCAAGCCTGGACCAGCTCCACTAAATCAAAAATACCCGGTGAAGAAAATGGAGGAGAAAAAGCGTGAGGGAAGGGAAAGAGGGGGAAAGAATGGAGCTAAGGAATGACCTGTGGCAGAATGAGATTTGGCAGAATGAGATTTCTCTGAAGTTGAAAGGTTATGGATCGGGGTATGGAAGGGGGATGGCAGGGGAAATTAGGAGGGAGACGGCTGTAAATGAGCAGTGGTCGTTAGGAACGATGCCCTAATTGGCAGAACATCTACAGAGACACAGAGGCTGCTCTGCCAATTAAGATTCATTTGAAATCCTCACTCATCAGCAGTCACAGGCACCGCTTGACTGTCCAACACTGTGAACAGAACCACAACGTTACAGATATCTCTATCAGGAACAGGTGTATAAACACCTCTCATTCATCAATCTCATTCAAATACACTTCTCCTGAACCCTACAGATGATAGGCACTAATGTCATTCAAGTTCATTGGGATGTGTTTGTTTAACCTGGATGATTAGATATTGTGTAGCTCACTTCTGTGTAAATCTAACCTGAAAACACATTGGTTGAAAAAGCTTTCATCAATGACCCATGCATTGTATGTGGGTGTCAGAATCTTTGTTAAATATGTGAGATAACAAATAAGTATATTCTTACTTACAGTACATGGTAATAGGGTTCTATAGGGTGAATTTCAAACAATCATTCTGCTAAATGGCCACACGATGGTGCCATGTGTCATACAAAGAGAGACAAAGGGTGTGCAGGGTAACGGCTCCTCTCCACACATCACACATCGTTCCTGCTAAACCTGATCAGCATGTAGAGATGTGCTCCGACTGAGGATAAGTTATTTATTTTTTCCCTTTAAAACAATATCAATTTCTTTCCAAAGCATTCATCACAGGTGCTGGAGACAGTTCAGTTTGCCAGTGTTCATTATAAAACCTTATCTGAAAAACTGAACAAAATCAATAGGAGGTTCACAAAGTAATTACAGCACAACATAATTTGCTCTCTCAAGGCCCCAGACTCACCCTGATCTCTGCAACCTGCCTCCTTTGCATGACCCCAACTGAGTGTGAGTGTGTGTGTGTGTGTGTGTGTGTGTGTGTGTGTGTGTGTGTGTGTGTGTGTGTGTGTGTGTGTGGACATGTTTAATTATACTTGTGGGGACCAGAAGTACTCACAAGAATAGTAAACTAACAAACAAACATTTGACCAACTGGGGACATTTTGCCAGTCCCCACAAGGAAAAATTATATTTCTAAGGGTTAGGGTTAGAATTTGTGTTAGGGTTAGAATTAGGTTTAGGAGTTAAAGGTTAGGTTTAGGGTTAAGTTGATGTTTTGGAGTTAAGGTTAGGGTTAAGGTTAGGGTTACGGAAAATATCATTTTGAATGGGAATCAATTGTGTGTCCCTACAAGGTTAGTAAAACAAGTGTGTGTGTGTGTGCGTGCGTGTGCGTGTGTGTGTGTGTACACACCTGACTGACCAATTCTTCGTAGTAAAGCCTCCATGACTAAAAAGAAAAGTAGCATTTAGACAACATCAAAGGTTTCGGATTGTATATTAGCCCATAACCTTCCAAAATACAGTCCATTCCCCCATAACTTGTCCAAGTAGGGAAATGTTTATGAATACTAACAGAAAAGTATAGTAGAGTAAAATTTATGTTGAGCTTGGACTTAATCAATTCCACTAACAGTTAATCCTAGATAGCACAGGAATTAATATAGGCTCAATCCACTGTCTGCATCAGTAGTTATCTATTTGGAATAGCTGGGACCTGTTAGTTAGCCAATTATTGACTTTGATGAATTTAGATGGTCACCATAGTCAAATCCTACAAAATAAAGGCCAGGAAAGATACATATAGCTATACTGTACCAAGCAGTAAACAATATTCTGAATAAGTTTTGAATGAAGCAGCTCCAAGCATTACTGAGTGGGATGAGGTAAGCGAGTGACAAAATGAATGAACTTGAGGCAAGCACAAACTGAGCACAGCTCAATATTGTTGTTACAGTATGTATCCTGAATGCAACCCTCAACAAAAAGCTGTCCACTTTTTTTTGTAAAAACAGCATAAAAGCAGCAATCTTAATAAGCTGCAGTGAAAAACCACAGTAAAACACATCGGAATACCTATTAAAGTATAAGACACCTCTCAAAGACTTCAAAGAAATGTTCCACTTCTCAGCAAAGCAAAGTCTATTAGCATTGTTCACCACTGGTATGCACTTGTGTGAGTTCACATCACCTCCAAAATTCAGCAAAGCCAAATAATCCTGGGTATGTTACATGGCTTTTCAGATCAGCCACTTCAGATATAAAGATGAAATTCTCTGAACATTTTAAGAAAACCTGGGGAAATCTGTATGCTCCTAAATTCACTGTGCTGCTCAGAGAGATAAGCCTTATGGGTCCTCATCTAATTCAAGTCCAGTACTCTGCCTGCCTCCCCTTGAAACTCAATCCAACTCTCTACCAAACCCTGTTATGACAAACCCTGGTAAAACAGCGTTACACATAGTCTTGGCACTCCATAAACAATAACATACAATACTGTAGTCTCTTGTCTCCTCCTCTCACCCCTCTCCCATCCCTCCTCTCACCCCCCTCTCCTCCCTCATTGTGTAGGCTGTCTGATAGTCCTGACCCAGCCTCCACTGTGAGTCATGGTTATGCTGATGGCATGGGATGGAGTACAGCGTTCTAATGGTGTGTATGTGTGTAGGTATGCTATGCTCACATTGAGCAAGTAACACAGTCTTTACTGTTTACGATGCTCCACTCACCTCTTCTTGACCAGAAGGATGGCCACCAGCACCAGTAGGATGAAAACCAGCACCCCAGCACTGATGCCAGCGATCTTCACCACCCTGTCTGTCTGCTTGGCTGGGTCCGGGATCACCTCTGGTTCCTCTGTAGCTCCTAGGTGACAGGTTAGAAACAAAGGTCAATTAATACAGTGTACGATTGTTGTAGTTTTGACCGTGAAATACAACACTTGAAAGGGCATAGTGCAAAAGTGAGTCTCTTCCAGCAGAACTATACTTTTCTTTGATCATAATGTTTGACCATAAAGTTTGACCATAATGATTACTTCAGTTGACCAGATGGTGGTCCACTACACAGACATTGTGTTCCCATCACACATGATGATATATACACTTCACCATTTACTGAGGACATCTTCCAGATTGAGCCATACCACCTCATGTCACAGCAATGATTTGAGCACAAACACATAAAAAGACAAAGACCAATAGCCTACTCATATTTAAATACATTCATAGTCCCATTACCGTTTAATATCTTTGTGCACTGGTTCTACACACACTAATGTCCTGATTAAATTGGGTTTTCTTCTAAATGCCTTCAGAATTTAATTTCTAATTATGTTTCATACCCCCATGGTCCCACAAGATATTACAAGCATAAATTCGCTATCTGCGTTCTTTTAATATTTTCAAAATCTTCAAAGCCATTAACTTCTGTAAAGCATTGGGTTTGAATACTCATTATAAAACAAATAATCGAATATGATATCCTAGTACACAACGTTATTTGCTAAACTGTTTACAAATAGGGGCATACGTAAATACTGTCAAAGGTGAACCAACACAAAACTATGTACCAAATCATAAAAGCAAGAAAAAAATCTAAATATCTCTACATTGATATTGTTGCTGATATATTATGTTATTTTGCTTTTGAGATATTCAAACACAATAATCCTCTTTCTAATGCAAAATACATAAAAACCCAAGTAAAGCATAATCCTTCCTTTTACAGTCCCCTAGCACTTAGTGAAATGCCCTTCCTACAGTAGACTGAGACCATTGTACAATTTCAAAAATATATGTATTTTCTTGATGCAAGTCGAATATCTCCTGACCCCTGCACTCCGACCTTCAGGGCAAATATGATGTCAAAGGATAATTATATCCCTATACAACGCTGAACCTAGTAATTCATTAATATAATAATGTAGCCCTTCTATGTCAATAGCTGAATGATAACCAACAGATGTAGAGTTTCCTAGCAGTGAAAGGAATGGAAGATACGACGACTCCCATCTCATCCATCCACAGATCAAACGGAAGGTCTTTACGGAGACTGATACAATGGCACAGAAATGTATGCCTGGGCAAAGCCCATCTTCAGCCTGCACTCAAGCCATTATTCCTCAGGGTCAATTCAATGGCCTAGTTTCTATCAAGGGAGAAAACAACAAGCTGGCATCTGTGTCACTAGATGGACCACTATTCTGTATTTCACTAACTCACCACCCTGGGGCAAGAACAATCTTCCTCAGACCACATACTAAGACAGACTACCACCACTACCACACTACCAACCCTGCCCCCCTCCCCCACCCTCGGTGAGCAGGTTGCGATAACCTTTACAAATAGAGCGAACTGACTATTTCAGTTGGAAAGACTGTGTTGGAGTGTTTGGTGGTCCCATAGCCATCTTTTTTCCTGAAACTAATCTGTTTTGCTCGTAAAACATAATTTGTGATCAGAGTGATCCCTAACATGTTGTGGATGGATGAAACCACCTTAGAGAGCATATCTAACAGCCACTAAAACACATCTAGGAACAGAAGGCTGGATGTATGTAGCAGGAAGGAGGTCGTCTCTGGGGTTTAAACCCAGATCTCTGTCAGTGTATGGGGGGCTATAGAAGCGAGGGGGGCAGGCCCTTTGGGACTGTCTGTTGTGCTTGACAGTGAGCCCCCCGACTCCCGTGTGCCTCTCCAAATATCTCCCTCTCTCTATCAGGTTGGAAGGCAATGGACATCTACAGAACATGTGTCCCAAAGGAGCAGGACAAACTGTCCTTGTCTCTCACGTTGTCATCCACTGGCCACGCCGCTGGCTTCAACACTTAAACACCTACAGCTCCTCTCCCTTCTCTCTGTTTGACAGCTCTTTCACCCTCACTTTAGCCATGCTATTGTACCCAGGAAAATGATGGTACAGAAACCATTTTCTGGTATTTACAGTCAGTTTCAAACACATTCTGGAAAAGATCTGTGAAATTAACTGAGCAGACTAGATTGTTTGGATCTGCTCAGAGTATGCTTGAACTTGACCCCATGGTGATAAAAAACTAACCAAGTCATTGCTATAATAGAGTTATGTGTTTTTCTGTCAATGGTTGCTTATCATTGCAGCAATATTATGGGGCAAAGAGAAGATGTCACATAAATATGTCACTCTTTCTCCTGTTTCTTTACTAGATTGTAAAACAGCAGTATTAAATCATCTCATAGGCATATAACACACACTAATCCACTCAATGCTTTACATGCAACAGCCAGACTATGCCATCAAGAGCACTATAACAAATGTAATATCGAGCGCAACAAGAAAAACAATAGCCTTGCTAGTGGAGCAGGTTTCACAATAGATGTTGACACCAGTTAAAAGGTTATTAATCAGTTCTGCAGCCCGGTGTCAAATGTTTTAAGGTATTGCTTGAGACATAATCCCCATCTCGCCTCAAGAATACTTATGTTTCTGTCAGAGTTTATGAGATATATTCATGAAAAAATACCGGAGGAAAATCAAATGGAATTGGATTACAACCATTTCCAAGATAAAACTCACTGCTTAAAATGAAAATCTATTTTCATTCCTAATAGTGGGCTACACGGCGGAGCCCTTATCAAATTCTGTCTGGATTGGTATGACAACCTCCGGGCCAATGCACTTTTGAAACAATTAATGACAAAAAGTACAACCAAAAAACAACAACACTTTCATTCCCAATTAAGTTAGGGCAATTAAGGTGGTTTTCAATTCAGAGAATGAGAGCACTTCTGGCATTTAATGTATCAAGGATGGAAAGCGTGAGTGATTGAGTGAGACCGGCACAAGTGGGCAAAGACTACATATACTCCAAGTGGACACACACTGGGATAATTGAATTTCTGAGCAGGACAAGGGCAGGTTATTGTTAGGACTAAACAACATTGTTAAGGGAGGATAGAAAGATTGTGCAATATGTTTCATCATGGCTATGACAGAGACAGAGATAACCCATTGGCCACATCAACACGCTCTTAGAGTATGAAGTGACTTAACTGTGAATGACTTTTATTAGTGTCACAATTATGTGTGCCCTTGTTGTCAGTGTCACATCCACTAGGGCTCGGCAGTTTCATGACAGGGAGAAGGAGAATACCAAACGTAGCTAAATCCGGTAATAATAACAAAAAAGGTCTATATGAGAGTACAGTATAAACAATATTACTGTCTCTCCGATCTTTGAAAGGCACAACAAATCCAACCCCTGGTGTGTTAATGCATAGCCAGCTGTTTAGGGATTATAAATACAGCACTTTCCACATCTGATAATCTAATAGCATATGTGGGCTGATTTCTAAGCTTGGCTGTTCAAAAATTATTAACAGATTATTAAGCACTGTATTACTGGGATACGTGAAAAACACACAAACAATAAAATGCATAAATATGAGTCTAATTGATAAGCATAGAAATAAAGCTAAATTAATCTATGGTAGTATTACACCCTTCGGGGTGACATCATCACTGATAATGAGTTCCATGTTGGAACCTGTTCTATTCTATCTATCTGTGATGTCATGTAGTAGATGGAAGCTTGTCATTCCTAGCAAGCCTAGTATAGCAGAAACCTGATGTAGCTAAGATGATTTTTTCAGGCTTAGTGTTATTGATGGGTGACTATGGAGTTAATACATGGTACAGTCACATCTGGCATATTAGCATTAGCAGCCACCTTAGCTGACATCCGAGATCATGAGATGTTTTGCCATTAGCAATATCTTCATATAGCTCTCCACTGAAAAACTGTAGGATTTGGCTAGTTTCATACCTCCTAGTTTTCATACATTCTTGTGGAAATAAAGTTGTTGCTGGAGTATGGTGGATCTCAATGTCCTGATGACTTGATGGGACTATTGTACTATTTAGCCTAGCCAACTAACTTTTGAATGAGATACTGAAGCTCAACTTACTGGCCATTTAATTCATTGTAGTCAGAGACATGACCATAAGCACTTGAATAACTTGGCCAGTAACTCCAATGCACTTCGGAAAATGCATGTTCAGCATAAATGTTGTCCATAATCTATAATGCAGGTAATTTCAATAGTGCAAAGCCAGAGATCAGAGTCCATAAATCGCCAACCTATTTCCCTTCGATTTACGTCACGGATGAGCTGGCACTGTATGAATTGTATCAATTTAATCACTAAAAACCAACAGCATGGGTTTATGATAAAAACCAGTGAGCTCTCGCTCTCTCTGTCTGTTAAATCAGAAGGATTGCCACTGCTAGCCCCCTGTTCTCACAGACACAAGCTGTTCGCCAGAGCAAGGTGCTTTACAAGCGCAAATATCACAAATAAATAAGCTTTCCTTAATTCCGCCTCAATCCAGATCCTCGCTGCACGACACTTCTCTTGGAAGATAAAGTGACACATGCATTATCACGTAACAGTTCTTTATCGGCGCAAGAGAGTGGCCATTTATTGGCTACTGAGAAATGTGATTGAAATCCAACTGTAATGTACAGTCAATTAATTGATACTGGGCAAGAAGGACTTTTATTGTTGTACAAATAAGCAAAAAGAATAAAGTCTTACCTTTTGTTGCAAGTCTCAGACATTGTGTTTTTGTTTCCTTTGAAAGAAAATAAATGAAAATAATAAAAATAGAGTGCAACATGAGAAACAGGAACAAACTAGATAAAAGGGAAACTAATGAACAATAGTAGGGTATCAAAGGGGGGTGGAGTGGAAAACAATGCTCCACAATGCACAAATCAGTTTTAAGACACTTATTTAAAACCCTAATAACCCAATGAGGGAACATTAGAGCGTCCTATTGGCTGACAAAGTGTGGTGTATATTCACCTTCTCCACGCTGCTGACGGCCTGGAAGTAGATATTATAGTTCTTCCTGGGGGCGAGCGGAGGGTTCCAGAAGCCATGGTAAGTCTTGTTGTCGCCCACCGTGAACGGAGAGGGCTCGGGAAGGTTCCCTGGTGGCAGTTCTGCCGCAAAGTAATAAGGCGAGCCACCACTGGAGGCACTGTGGAAGGGGACTGGGACCTGGTAGCAGTCCACGGAGCTGGCCTCCCTGCGTGTGCGATGTGGGTTCAGCTCCTCCACCACGATCTGATAAGCGCTGCGGAGGGGTACAAAACATCACAGGCAATCAGTCCCCACAAAACAACACAAGCAAACAAAGTCAGCTAGCCAAACAATAGGCAGGCTAATCTTAAAGCAATCTCTCACTTCACGGAGCACAGAGAGGGCATGCCAAATGAGCTTAGCTCTTGGAATGAGCCCTGGCTTGGCAACGTCGTACGCTACAGGCCCTGATATCCCTACCAGAGCCTATTTATCTGCACATGGCCTTTAACTAATAACAATTAGTTAAAGGCCATTCTCTCAGACTGGGAGGCTGTAGAGAAATCCCCACTGAATGAGAGCTGATGAACCTCAAGTGAGAGTAAACAGGTCAGGTCTCTCATTTGTATTTCAGAGTCACACTGCTGTGCTTCATCTCTCCACCTGAGGGTCTTTGTTAACGTGGCGAGACACGCACAAACCACAGTGCCAGGGCAACTTATTAACACAGTGCAGAGCGAGGAGAAGCCCCTTCACACACCCATGGAGCTGTAAACCTGGCAGACCTACCTTCCTTCCTTCCGCATCCACAGCTCAGAGCCCCCTCCTGGACTTCACTATCCTTAGTTCTGCTCCAAGAGTGTGACCCCCCTCCCACCCTTGGTAATGACTGCCCAGGGGCATGTCTCTGTCCCCCCGTCCACCCTTCCCTCACCATTAACGCCCAAGTGTCCTGACAGCCATCTCCACATCCCTGACCTTCCATAGCTCCTATTTTAGCACAAAGCGCCACAGATCTAAAATGCAAGTGACACTCCATAATGCCGGGCGCAGATGGACACAAAATTCACTTCCACCAAAATAGGGTGAGTGCTCGAGCTCTTTCCTCTACCCTGTATTGCTTGTCAATGACAAAATGTTACAAATTACCTGGGAAAATGACCTGAGGCTTGCTATAGCTCAATCTCTCATACACACCTTAATCCACCCTCTCTAAATTACCGCTGCACAGACCTGCTGCATGATTAGCCAATCGGCTTCCATCAGAGCTTGGCCAGTTTTACGGTGCACTGCCAAAACGGGTCAAATTAAACGATCCCTTTGATAATGCACTCAGGCCACAATCTGTCCCATTCTGAATCATTGTCTATTTTAAAAACACACATCATTGTTTCATTGATGCTCCTAAATCCTTTAAACTGGTAAAAACATGACAATCTTATTCGTAGTATATTTCCTCATACTTTCCTAACACCACCCTCCATTGCATATTTGGTATCTGACTATGCAATTCATATTTATGATATTTGTAACATTATACTGTACACAAAATCTGTATTCCAGAAAAAATAAAAAAATAGAAATTAGAAGTGGGTGTGACATATTAGCTACAACTGCCACATCTACTGAGTGAGTGCATGTGAGAAAGAAATGCAGTCAGGTGGTTTTGTATTCAGGGCTGCTGTCCTTTCCCTTTCTATACGCAGCCCCTCCAATTTCACAATCAAAGCCCAGGCCCAGTTGCATAATAGGTGATTTACTGAATCTGAGCACAAAGAGTTCTCTCCAAATCCCCTTTATGACAAGTACCTTCAACTCCATATCCCTGCCGATTGTGATAGGGGAGAGGAAATGAAAAGGCACAGGCCAACAATGTCCAAATCAAATGGAGATCGGCAGGGCCATGGACCTGAATATCTAAATTCCCTGCAGAGTCTCTGTAGACATTACCCAGTACTGCGCTCTCTATTTGTGGGATGTGCTACAGGGAGGGACACAACACAAACCTTTTGACAGAGATGTCAGGCAAACAGATGGATGACCTTCATTAAAATGACTAGATGACTAGTCTCCCGAGTGGCGCAGTGGTCTAAGGCACTGCATCGCAGTGCATCGCAGTGCTAGCTGTGCCACTAGAGATCCTGGTTCAAATCCAGGCTCTGCCGTAGCCGGCCGCGACCGGGAGACCCATGGGGCGGCGCACAATTGGCCCAGCGTCGTCCAGGGGAGGGGAGGGAATGGCCGGCAGGGATGTAGCTCAGTTGATAGAGCATGGCGTTTGCAACGCCAGGGTTGTGGGTTCGATTCCCACAGGGGGTATGAAAAAATTAAAATAAAAAATAAATAAAATAATGTATGCACTAACTAACTGTAAGTCGCTCTGGATAAGAGCGTCTGCTAAATGACTAAAATGTAGATGGAACCCTTGGACTAAAAGAAAGCCAGGCATTAGGTCTCTCACCTGATAGGGGCACCTTTGGCCTGAGCGGGCTTCAGTAGGACCGTGATGGTGGTGGCCGTCTCATTCAGAAACGCCTCAGACCCATCATACTCCTCCAGTGTTGGGGCTATGGGGAAAAAGCACACCAGACAGACAAGAATTTAGTGCAAAATCACAGATGGAGGAAGATTGTCAGCAATGGGGTGTAATATGTTGAAGTCTTGAGAAAGGCATGCTCCATCAGGACACATTATGTTTAATTTTGAACTTGGCTGACCTTTATTATAGCACTGCAAAGTAAAAAAAACACCTCTCTCCTGCTTGGAACATGTTTTCTAAAACACTTCTGGGAATTGCTACCTAACAAATTTACAATAGCAGTTTTGCCAAAACGCAGGAACTGCGTGATTACATCTACATTACGTACATTACATCTCTTTGAAGTAGGCGCATAGCGCAAAAAGCACCAGGTCCCTCTTATTTAAAAAAAGGCTACTGGCCTCATTTGCCATTAAGGGATATGTCGAGAAGCTTTTAGCTTCCATTCACCTGGTAAATTTGATTGATGTGGTTTGCATTATAATCTAATGAGGTCATAGGCTGTCATTTCAACAGATTCCAAATACATCCCTGTCTAAGGCATGTTGAGTGCTGACAAGATTAGAGTTGGGAAAAACGTGTGCTGGAGAAAATTACTCCAACAGGTACAGAGAATCCAGATATTCCATTACGGAATGGAGTCTGACACGATTAACATTACTGAGAGATATCTCAGTGCTGTGCTTAGTGTCATGGTAGAAATTGCTCAGAAAACCGATAACCGAACCAACCCATAACCCAACCAATTTTTTGTTACCCCATTCTGGTTACTTCGCTTCCTAGACCTGCAGCGCTACCAGACCCTTTTTAACAAAACAGCAACAGGCAGGAATTTCTTAAGAGAACAATTACATTATGCATCAATTTAATTTTACTTGATTAATAAACAATACTTTCTCTGGTAGCACTACTAATAGTCTAGTAGCTGTAACACTATGTCCATTATACTGTATACATACTCTACCATACTAAGGAGGTTTCTCTTGGCCAGGTTTCCCTTGTAACCTCAATGGGACTTCCTGGATAAATAAAGGTTAAATAAACGTACCTGAGATGTTGGTGGTGACATTGAGTGTGGTCGGGGAGCCAAAGCCCTTGACGGTGCTGGCTCGTATGAGGAACTGGTAGGTGGTGCCAGGGTGGAGCTGGTTGAAGACGTGGTGAGAAGTGTTCCAGGGCAGAGACACGATCAAAGGAGGGCGCATTATCGGCACCGAGGGGTCAAAGGACCGAATACCACTGTAGCTGATCTGTTAGGGGAGGGAGAGGAGAGGGAAATACAATATTTACCTAATGAGTTGTTGAAAAGTGTTCAAGCGAATGGTAATAGACTTTCTGTAACATTATGCTGTGGTACAAACTTTATCTGTGTTTAAGTAGGTGGAATGCACATACCTAGCAAAGTACAAAGCACAGCTAAACAAATGAGAGGATTTTTGAGTGATTTCACTGCATTGTGTATTGTATTTAAAACATGCAAAAGACTTGAGGTACATATGGAATGCATATGGAAACACTTGTAAGCCTGAACTAAAATGTGTGATAAAAAATTTGAGCATGTGACTTCCCATGGCATTATGTAGAATGTGTGTCATGTTACATCAAATCAAATCAAAATTTGTCACATGCGCCGAACAGGTGTAGACCTTCCTGTGAAATGCTTACTTACAAGCCCTTAACCAACAACGCAGTTCAATAAATAGAGATATTTACTAAATAAACTAAAGTAAAAAATAAAATAAAAAGTAACACAATAAAATAACAATAACGAGGCTATGTACAGGGGGTACCGGTACCGAGTCAATGTGCCGGGGTACAGGTAATTTATACATGTACGTATGGGTAAAGTGAGGGGGGGGGGGGGTCAATGTAAATAGTCTGGGTGGCCATTTGATTAATAGAAGCTGTTAAGGAGCCTTTTGGACCTAGACTTGGCGCTCCGGTACCGCTTGCTGTGTGGTAGCAGAGAGAACAGTCTATGACTTGGTTGACTGTAGTCTTTGACAATTCTTTGCCTTCCTCTGACACCGCCTAGTATATACAGTGGGGGAAAAAAGTATTTAGTCAGCCACCAATTGTGCAAGTTCTCCCACTTAAAAAGATGAGAGAGGTCTGTAATTTTCATCATAGGTACACGTCAACTATGACAGACAAAATGAGGAAAAAAAATCCAGAAAATCACATTGTAGGATTTTTTTGAATTTATTTGCAAATTATGGTGGAAAATAAGTATTTGGTCAATAACAAAAGTTTCTCAGTACTTTGTTATATACCCTTTGTTGGCAATGACACAGGTCAAACGTTTTCTGTAAGTCTTCACAAGGTTTTCACACACTGTTGCTGGTATTTTGGCCCATTCCTCCATGCAGATCTCCTCTAGAGCAGTGATGTTTTGGGGCTGTCGCTGGGCAACACAGACTTTCAACTCCCTCCAAAGATTTTCTATGGGGTTGAGATCTGGAGACTGGCTAGACCACTCCAGGACCTTGAAATGCTTCTTACGAAGCCACTCCTTCGTTGCCCGGGCGGTGTGTTTGGGATCATTGTTATGCTGAAAGACCCAGCCACGTTTCATCTTCAATGCCCTTGCTGATGGAAGGAGGTTTTCACTCAAAATCTCACGATACATGGCCCCATTCATTCTTTCCTTTACACGGATCAGTTGTCCTGGTCCCTTTGCAGAAAAACAGCCCCAAAGCATGATGTTTCCACCCCCATGCTTCACAGTAGGTATGGTGTTCTTTGGATGCAACTCAGCATTCTTTGTCCTCCAAACACGACGAGTTGAGTTTTTACCACTTTTCCTGTAGGCCACGATCATCTCCTTTGGCTTGCTCACGTTGACGGAGAGGTTGTTGTCCTGGCACCACACTGCCAGGTCTCTGCCCTCCTCCCTATAGGTTGTCTCATCGTTGTCGGTGATCAGGCCTACCACTGTTGTGTCATCAGCAAACTTAATGATGGTGTTGGAGTCGTGCTTGTCCACGCAGTCTTGGGTGAACAGGGAGTACAGGAGGGGACTAAGCATGCACCTCTGAGGGGCCCTAGTGTTGAGGATCAGCGTGGCAGATGTGCTGTTGCCTACCCTTACCACCTTGGGGCGGCCCGACAGGAAGTCCAGGATCCAGTTGCAGAGGGATGTGTTTAGTCCCAGGATCCTTAGCTTAGTGATTAGCTTTGTGGGCACAATGTGGGCCCTATAATCCACATTCCCTTGGATTATGTGGGTCAGTGTTCTCATATTCCCACAGCTGGATAACACTTGAGATTTAAGAAATGTTATTTCAAATTCACCCCATTGCACACAAGCTACGAATCACTGTGGGTTATTAACTTTAAAAATACAATCCATTCAATGATGGATCAGTACACCTTCTTTGCATACCTAAGAAGTACTGAAAATAGTATTTTGCAACAGTAACATACAATGAGTTCCCCTTAAAACCCACAGTCCCCTTTTTGAGTTACAGTATTTGCACCATAGTCCTGTATGAAATAGGAACAGGACGTTTTTCACTCATATGCGCTGGTTTCCAGAGGGACACTAAAGATTCATAAAACCTGTGAAACATGGTTTAAATATACAAACCCCATGTGGATCCTAGACAGGCCTGTCTACCATCCATCCCGCCCCAACTCTCCCCTCCAGCCCTCCCTCCCCCACCTCCCACCCTCCCTCCCCCTTCTCCCTCCTCCACCTTTCTCTCCCCCCACCTCCCCCTCCCTCCCTCCATCCATCCCCACCTCTCCCCACCTCTCCCACCTCTCGCTCCCTCCCCACTCCCCTCCCCTCCTCCTTCCCTCGCCCCACCTCTCCCTCCCTCCACCTCTCCCCTCCCTCCCTCCACCTCTTTCCTCCCCTCCCCTCCTCCTTCCCTCGCCCCACCTCTCCCTCCCTCCACCTCTCCCCTCCACCTCTCCCCCTGGCCATAGTACTTCATTACCTCATACTGAGTGATGATCCCATTGGGCTCCAGTGGTTCCTTCCAGTAAAGGAAGATCCGATCCTCGAACGGTGTGGCTTTCATGGACTGGCTGGGAACGGGGCCAGGGACTGCATTAGGACAGAAGACAGGAGGAGTAGGTCCTAATGCAATCAAAGGAAGGCCACTGTACTGTAATGAATCCTACTCTCACAGAGAGAGCCCCTCCTGAGCCTGTGCGCCTGTAACGAGACCACTGACTATTTTTACTTACAGCAAAGCAGCATGTTGAAAATTGCATAATAATGTAGAGCGCTGCGCGTGCGTTGAATGGGAGACACTTGAATTCCCGGTGGTTTTTATTGAATTTCGACAATGAATTTACATGACATTTGATAATCAAGGTGCAATATCCTTTCAAGAGCATCCCTTCTCTCTGTCATCTGCATGTTTTATGATCAAATTAGTCTCCTATAATTTGGGGTCTCTTTCACCAATCGAGCAAAGCCATCAGCCAGAGAAACCACAGCATGCCAGACCTCTCTGACATTAATTTTGATCAGTGAAGGTATTGAGTATAGAATTTAATATACGCTATATACAGTGCATTCGGAAAGTATTCAGACCACTTGACTTTATCCACATTTTGTTAAGTTACAGCCTTATTCTAAAATTGATTAAACAGTTTTTTTCCCTCATCAATTTACACACAATAACGCACAATGACAAAGCGAAAACAAGTTTTTCAAACATTTTGCTAATTTATTTATTTATATATATATATATATATATATATAGTACTATTCAAAAGCTTGGACACACCTAGTCATTCAAGGGTTTTTCTTTATTTTTACTATTTTCTACATTGTAGAATAATAGTGAAGACATCAAAACTATGAAATAACACATATGGAATCATGTAGTACCAAAAAAGTGTTAAACAAATCAAAATATATTATATATTTGAGATTATTTAAATAGCCACCCTTTGCCTTGATGACAGCTTTGCACACTCTTGGCATTCCCTCAACCAGCTTCATGAGGTAGTCACCTAGAATGCATTTCAATTAACAGGTGTGCCTTGTTAATGCGTTTGAGCCAATCAGTTGTGTTGTGTCAAGGTAGGGTTGGTATACAGAAGATAGCCCTTTTTTGGTAAAAGACCAAGTCCATATTATGGCAAGAACAGCTCAAATAAGCAAAGAGAAATTACTGTCCATCATTACTTTAAGACATGAAGGTCAGTCAATACAGAACATTTCAAGAACTTTGAAAGTTTCTCCAAGGGCAGTCGCAAAAACCATCAAGCGCTATGATGAAACTGGCTCTCAAGAGGACCACCACAGGAAAGGAAGACCCAGAGTTACCTCTGCTGCAGAGGATAAGTTCATTAGAGTTACCAGCCTCAGAAATTGCAGCCCAAATAACTGCTTCACAGAGTTCAAGTTAGACCAGTGGAAAGCTGTCCTTTGGTCTGATGAGTCCAAATTTGAGATTTTTGGTTCCAACCGCCGTGTCTTTGTGAGACGCAGAGTAGGTAAACGGATGATGTCTGCATGTGTGGTTCCCACCGTGAAGCATGGAGGAGGTGGTGTGATGGTGTGGGGGTGCTTTGCTGGTGACACTGTCAGTGATTTATTTAGAATTCAAGGCACACTTAACCAGCATGGCTACCACAGCATTCTGCAGCGATACGCCATCCCATCTGGTTTGCACTTAGTGGGACTATCATTTGTTTTTCAACAGGACAATGACCCAACACACCTCCAGGCTGTGTAAGGGCTATTTTACCAAGAAGGAGAGTGATGGAGTTATGCATCAGATGACCTGGCCTCCATAATCCCCCGACCTCAACCCAATTGAGATGGTTTGGGATGAGTCGGATGGCAGAGTGAAGGAAAAAAAAGCCAACAAGTGCTCAGCATATGTGGGAAACTCCTTCAAGACTGCTGGAAAAGCATTACAGGTGAAGCTGGTTGAGAGAACGCCCTCCATTTGGCAAATCTGACCATAACTCTATCCTCCTGATTTCCTGCTTATAAGCAAAAACTAAAGCAGGAAGAACCAGTGACTCGGTTAATAAAAAAGTGGTCAGATGACGCAGATGCTAAGCTACAGGACTGTTTTGCTAGCACAGACTGGAACATGTTCCGGGATTCTTCAGATAGCATTGAGGAGTACAACCACATCAGTCACTGGCTTCATCAATAAGTGCATTGATGACGTCGTCCCCACAGTGACCGTACGTACATACCCCAACCAGAAGCCATGGATTACAGGCAACATCCGCACTGAGCTAAAGGGTAGAGCTGCAGCTTTCAAGGAGCTTATAAGAAAACACGCTATGCCCTCCGACGAACCATCAAACAGGCAAAGAGTCAATACAGGACTAAGATTGAATTGTACTACACCGGCTCTGACGCGCGTCGGATGTGGCAGGGCTTGAAAACTATTACAGACTACAAAGGGAAGCACAGCAGCGAGCTGCCCAGTGACACGAAACTTCCAGACGAGCTAAACCACTTCTATGCTCGCTTCGAGGCAAGCAACACTGAAGCATGCATGAGAGCACCAGCTGTTCCGGATGACTATGTGATCACGCTCTCCGTAGTCAATGTGAGTAAGACTTTTAAGCAGGTCAACATTCACAAGGCCGCATGGCCAGACGGATTACCAGGACGTGTACTCCGAGCATGTGCTGACCAACTGGCAAGTGTCTTCACTGACATTTTCAACATGTCCCTGACTGAGTCTGTAATACCAACATGTTTCAAGCAGACCACTATAGTCCCCGTGCCCAAGGACACTAAGATAACCTGCCTAAATGACTACCGACCCGTAGCACTGACATCTGTAGCCATGAAGTGCTTTGAAAGGCTGGTCATGGCTCACATCAACACCATTATCCCAGAAACCCTAGACCCACTCCAATTTGCATACCGCCCCAACAGATCGACAGATGTTGCAATCTCTATTGCACTCCACACTGCCCTTTCCCACCTGGACAAGAGGAACACCTATGTGAGAATGCTATTCATTGACTACAGCTCAGCATTCAACACCATAGTGCCCACAAAGCTCATCACTAAGCTAAGGATCCTGGGACTAAACACCTCCCTCTGCAACTGGATCCTGGACTTCCTGACGGGCCGCCCCCAGGTGGTAACAACACATTTGCCACACTGATCCTCAACACGGGGGCCCCTCAGGGGTGCGTGCTCAGTCCCCTCCTGTACTCCTTGTTCAACCATGACTGCATGGCCAGGCACGACTCCAACACCATCATTAAGTTTGCCGACGACACAACAGTGGTAGGCCTGATCACCGACAATGATGAGACAACCTATAGGGAGGAGGTCAGAGACCTGGCCGTGTGGTGCCAGGATAACAACATCTCCCTCAACGTGACCAAGACAAAGGAGATGATTGTGGACTACAGGGAAAAAAAGAGGACTGAGCACGCCCCCATTCTCATCGACGGGGCTGTAGTGGAACAGGTTGAGAGCTTCAAGTTCCTTGGTGTCCACATCACCAACAAACTATCATGGTCCAAACACACCAAGACAGTCGTGAAGAGGGCACAACAAAGCCTATTCCCCCTCAGGAGACTGAAAAGATTTGGCATGGGTCCTCAGATCCTGAAAAAGTTCTACAGCTGCACCATCGAGAGCATCCTGACTGGTTGCATCACCGCCTAGTATGGCAACTGCTCGGCCTCCGACCGCAAGGCACTACAGAGGGTAGTGCGTACGGCCAAGTACATCACTGGGGCCAAGCTTCCTGCCATCCAGGACCTCTATACCAGGCGGTGTCAGAGGAAGGCCCTCACAATTGTCAAAGACTCCAGCCACCCTAGTCATAGACTGTTCTCTCTGCTACCGCACTGCAAGCGGTACCGGAGTGCCAAGTCTAGGTCCAAAAGACTTCTCAACAGCTTCTACCCCCAAGCCATAAGACTCCTGAACAGCTAATCATGGCTACTCAGACTATTTGCACTGCCCCCCCACCCCCACTCCATCTTTTTACGCTGCTGCTACTCTGTTAATTATTTATGCATAGTCACTTTAACTCTACCCACATGTACAGTGGGGAGAACAAGTATTTGATACACTGCCGATTTTGCAGGTTTTCCTACTTACAAAGCATGTAGAGGTCTGTAATTTTTATCATAGGTACACTTCAACTGTGAGAGACGGAATCTAAAACAAAAATCCAGCATGACAACGACCCGAAACACACAGCCAGGGCAACTAAGGAGTGGCTCCGTAAGAAGCATCTCAAGGTCCTGGAGTGGCCTAGCCAGTGTCCAGACCTGGGGCCAAAATCCCTGCTGCAGTGTGTGCAAACCTGGTCAAGACCTACAGGAAACATATGATCTCTGTAAATGCAAACAAAGGTTTCTGAACCAAATATTAAGTTCTGCTTTTCTGATGTATCAAATACTTATGTCATGCAATAAAATGCAAATTAATTACTTAAAAATCATACAATGTGATTTTCTGGATTTTGGTTTTAGATTCCGTCTCTCACAGTTGAAGTGTACCTATGATAAAAATTACAGACCTCTACATGCTTTGTAAGTAGGAAAACCTGCAAAATTGGCAGTGTATCAAATACTTGTTCTCCCCAATGTACATATTACCTCCTTCTACCTCTACTAACCGGTGCCCCCGCACATTGACTCTGCACCGGTACCCCCCTGTATATATAGCCTCCCTACTGTTATTTTATTTTACTTCTGCTCTTTTTTTTCTCAACACTTTTTTGTTGTTGTTGTTTTATTTTACTTTTTTATTAAAAAATAAATGCATTGTAGGTTAAGGGCTGTAAGTAAGCATTTCACTGGAATGTCTACACGTGTTGTATTCGGCGCATATGGCCAATAAAATTTGAATTGATTTGATTTGAGTGTGCAAAACTGTCAAAGGCAAAGGGTGGCAATTTGAAGAATCTCAAATTTAAAATATATTTTGATTTGTTTAACACTTTTTTGGTTACTAGATGATTCCATTTGTGTTATTTCATAGTTTTGATGTCTTCACTATTATTCTACAATGTAGAAAATAATAAAAAATTAAGAAAAATGCTTGAATGAGTAGGTGTGTCCAAACTATTGACTGGTACTATATAT